AGAGTCAACTACGGACTTGATCGCTCCCGACAACCCCCCACAAGGCTGGCGGTTCCGTATCGTGCCAAAGATAATCCTGCACCACGGGCGGAATTCAGTCACCCCGATGTTGTCATTGTGCTGACGTGCCTGAGTTATTACTATGAGGGACTCCGCGACGAGGACCTATTTCGAGCGTTCGACCATCTGGTCGGATCGGATCAAGCTGACGCGGAGTATCAGATATGGGTCGATGATGCTCCGACTCTCCCCCCTGCTTATTGTCAATTGGTGGGCGTTAATCTCCAGGACCGGCTCCTTTGCGCGGAATGCATTTTCCCCTGTCTTCGGTTCGCGAAGGGAGCCATCGATTACTTCCTGGCCCATATCATTTTCGCCAAAGGCCTAAGGGAGTTTCCGAGTAAATTATCTTCGTCCGGATGGGATATCGGTGAGGTCAAGTGCCATCCCACCGTCGGCTTTAGCGGGACCAACGATTCCCGCGTCACCCTTCCGCTCAGTGTGGAGCAGCTGGATCTACCTGACCAGAACCACACCAATGCGTTAGTTCTCGAATATCTTCTCCGACCCGAGACTGGCATTGCCCTGATTCCGACCCGAGATGACCTGTCCAAGTCAGATGCGCAGGTCCTTCTGGATATGGTGGCGGAACTGGTTTCACCCGTCCGCGTGATTCTGGACGTTGGAGCTCGCATATTAGAGCTGAGTAACCTGGATGTTGCGAAGACCTGGTTGGAGATGGTCAGTGATGATGGTCGAACGCAGGCTGTGGTCTTTATCAACGACGACGACGATATTGCCGTGGTAGATCGGACCGGACTCGTCGAACCGCTGCAGACGTCACCTTTCAAAAGGCACCTCGATCAATGCCTTGTGTTCCTTGACGAAGCACACACGAGAGGAATTGATCTGAAGCTACCCCTGAATTACCGGGCGGCGGTGACGCTGGGACCGAATATCACGAAAGACAAGCTGGTTCAAGGTCAGGGACCCCCGCTGGAACGGTCAGATGCACTTCTTACTAACAGCTATTCACAGCATGCATGAGGATGAGAAAATTAGGGAAAGGACAATCGGTCGTGTTTTGCATACCGGAAGAGATCAAGTTCAGAATTCTGACCCTCTGTGGGAGGACCCACGAATCTGATCTTACCGTAGCAGACGTGCTTCGCTGGGCAATTTCAGAGACCTGGGACGATATGCAACGCAGCATACCTTTGTGGGCAGTGCAGGGAAATCGATATCAGGCCCAGGCCCGTCAGTGGCTGGTCTTGCGACAGGACGGGCAAACCTCGATATCAACATCTCAGGCAGAGGGTTTTCTGGAACCGGAGTCCCAGTCCCTTGAACAGCGGTATAGTCCCGGTTGTAATAATGTCCTTTCTCTTTCCTCCCAATGCCCTGACGATGCGGACTCGCGGCGCATACTGGACCGATGCCGTGAGTTTGCAACTGTGAAGTTCTCTGCAGCGCAACTCCAGGAAGAGCAGGAGCGAGAACTAGCACCAGAGATTGAGCAGGAACGACAAGTTCAACGTCCAGCTCCTGCCGAACCGGAACCGCATTCTGTGCATCCTGATATACTCTCGTTCGTGGCCACTGGACACCTGGATGCATCATCCGCCGCCGTGAAACCAGCTTTTATGGTGTTAAAAGATACATCAGCGGCAAGGTACCTGGATGTGGCCCAGTTCCCATCAGAGCTCCTTGTCACCATTGATTTTGCGAGAACAGTCCGACTGCCTGAATTATCTGCGCGGGATCAATATCAGCGTGCGGTGGAATGGGTCCTGATGAGCACCGGCCATCCCTCCGAGGACGGAACGTCTGTAAGGCACATGGTGATAATCAGCCCGTATGAAGCGAATGCGCTTCAGGCTGGCATTCGCTCGTCTGGTGCAGTAACGATGCATCTATACGCACCTCGGCAAAACCAGAGTTCGTACCCTATCGATAAGCTCGATCTGTACACGATTCCGACAAATCTAAGAACAAGGCCCCTGCGAGTCCCTGAGAGCCTACGCATTCAACTGAACCTCTTTGCGGGCCAGCTCTATATTTCGTCGTACAGCGAGTATTGTGAAATATGCCGCTTCCTGGGAGTTGCGTCTACTGCCGCACCAGAGGGCTTGGCTGTCGCCGCGGATGGGTTCATCGTGGAGAATCAACAGGCAGGAGCCAAGTTCACCAAAAGCCCCCTTACGTTTCTCAAGGTGTTCATGTCACAGATACGGAAGGACGGGCAGGAAATTGACAAGACCCACCTTGGGAAGATTTTAGACGGAAAACTATTACTCAAGGCTGACTTCCAAGATTGCAATGGCAAAGCTCGGACCATGAAGCTGAGCCTTCGAAATGTCCGATGAGATGCTGGGGCGGCAAGAAGTGAGTTTTGATGCCGGAACAGTCTTCTTTGTGCTCCGGGTGACTGACGCTTCGCTTCAGGCTGGACCTAATCAGTTTCCTCTCAATGTAGTAATGTAGTTCCAGATTCGTTTTGTCGTAGGGATTTCAAATGACAAGGCTCTCCAATTCCTTCGTGATATTACATCTGTTTTGTTACCTCGTTGTGAGCCTATTCGTGAGGCCTTTCACGGATTCTATCTTACTTGGCACTTGGCTAGACTGCAATGGCGATGTAGAGAGGATGGTGGTTTGAGCCCGCCGAATAATGATGCAGCAATGCTTTTCGGTAGTGGGGTTCACGATGTAGAACACGCGGCCAATCACCAGCACGGGGGGGGGGGGGGATTAACCCAAACCCAACGTTATTTATATTGCAGGAGTTTCGTACAGAAAACCCCAGGAAACATAACGATCAGCGCGATGCGCAACCCATCGAAACCCGCCAGCAGGTGACTCCTAGCAAGGATCACGATTGACTTGCGCCATACGAATTCCGAGGTCCTTGGCGTCTAGTTGTAGAGGGGTGAGGACTACTAGGAGGGCGAGGCGTAGAGATGGTCGAGGCAATGGAGAATTTCATATTTATATAGAGTGACAATGGCAGCAGTACGGAACTAACATTCCTTGCGCGCTTCAATAGGAAGGTCGGTCAAATGAAGTAGTCAAATAAAAATTAAGAAAACGCATTATAGACTTCTCAATGCCTCCAATCATAATATTTCAGATTTTGGTTCACATCATCCTGTTTATGTCGGCGAGTCCGGGTGTAGGCCTCGCCTGTTGAATGAGATTGGAATGACTTCCTTGTTGGTCAACTTATTTAGCGTTTTTTTACAGAGTGGAATGCTTCCAATATATATATATATATACCCATTTCCCATCGCTGCTGCACGGTTCAGCTACCGTGATGTCCAATAGTTCTGGCCTACGGAGCCTCAAGCGGGTGGAGGTTCCAACCTGCTCGCCTCAGGCTGTTTATTCACCAATGCCAAGATGAGACAAGAAACTGTGAGGCCACGAGCGGCAGGTCTGCCCTTCTGCTTTGTCCGGGCTATTTTATATTTATTAATCTACAAGTTAAATCACCTGCTTGATAACAGATAACAGCATAGCCTAGCTTCATTGAAACCGGGGAGCGTTTGCCAATGGTGAGAACTATTGCTTTTCGTCTTTCCGATGGTCTGCTGGCGCCGGTAAACTGAGCGTCCGTTACTCGGGAGTCGTTGTTGCGCAGAGCCACAGGAGACTCGGGCATAGCATACAGAAGTAGGCCAACTTTATACTAATTTACACTGCCCTGCTTGTCTTATCGTCAGAAATATGGCTGCAACATGGAAGGTAGAGGCGCCGCGATTCCTGTTTCATCAAGCATATGAAGTTGAAGCTGAAGGAGGATTAACTGGGCATCTTCAATAGTCTCGTGTGGGATCTCTCTTTTGAGGGCGGGCATTCCCCAGCGTTGAACAGTCTACTGTACACTAATTCTGCTGTCCATCAATACTGTCTTCTCCCTCACCGGGAGTATTTTCCTGCCTATAATTTCCAATCAACCACGATGGCGGCTATGTTGATAGGACACGGATATTATGTGATAATCGCTTGTGTAGGTATGTAGAGATGTACAACGTCTCCAAAGGAAAAGTATGGTGTATAGTCGATTTTAGATACAAGAGTGTTCTTTATCTGCGTCTTAGACTGTGTATAAGTAAAGCGTCCGGAAGCCCCTACACCCCTGAGAATCCACTTCACTCTCCAAGTAAGCAGTCTCCAGACATCGTAGGTAAGATAGCATCGCGGAGATGATCAACCGAGTATGTCACGATGTAGCTTTTCGCAGGCAGCTCCCGGGGGATATGTAACAGACCAAACAGACCACTCGACTAAAAAGGTGTCCAGACACCTAAGTAGGTGTGATACTGAATGATACTAGGTTTGACAATATGTGATTGTGTAAAGATCCTCAACAGGAAGATTATATCAGAAGACATGCACATTTCAATCAATATTCCACTGTCTTTGGGTGTCTGGACACTTTTTTTGTCGAGTGGTTTTGTTTGACAGATGATTGTCGAGACTGATAGAGAGACGCTTCCCCACCAAATCCCCACGAACTTTACCGCCTACCCTGTGGATCATTCGACCGGAGATACTGCCAATATCACGTGGGCTGTTCGGCGTCTGCCGGCATATTTAGGCCTCCAAGACGGACTAATTATTCTGCCTAATCCTGTCTCATCAGGCCCGGACACTGCTGATTTCTACGCGGACGATGTAGTCAACAGTAATCAGACAATACTTTCCATCCTGACATCTCGTCTCATCCCATATGTAGTATCTATACCAACCACAACCCGAATCCCGACTATACTAAATATAGCAACGACCCCGTCCAGCTCAGCCGCAGGACCCTGACGATTACATAACCCGACCCTCCGCCTGCGCGAGAGCAACGGCTAGCCCGGTGTGGTCTAGCGCCGCAAGGATGGGCAGTAGCGGCTAACCGGAAGGAGATTAGCGGGCTGGAGAAGACCACGGGTCTGAAACCCGGTTGGAGAAGGGCGGCACAAGACAACAACCGACTTGGTTGCGTTTTGTTTCGTTCGCGACAACTCCCGCCCCATGGTCGGTTCTGCTCCTGCTACACCGTCTGACCGACTGACTGACCGACCGACCTTGAGAGCGTGGACTCTTCCGATCTGTCAGACCATTCATTCCATTCCATGAGTCGACTGTCCTGATCCGCCGTGTTCCATACCGCCTGCACCCGCGCGCTCCTGTCTTCAATTCATCATCAATCACACACTAATCACACCCACCCACCCCCCTCCCCTCGTCAGCCCAGCCCGACACTACAGAACACTACGACCTGCGTACCTACCCATCTCACACGACCAACACCAACACCAAAATGTCCAACCCGTCCACCACCACCAGTAGTACCCTCGACTACTCCTCCGACACCTCCGACCCCCCTCTCTTTCCTCCATCCCACCACCACAACCCGCGTCTCAACCGCTACACCCGCCCCCTCATATCCTACGTCCGGAACGAATGGCAACTTTCCAACTCCAAATACTCCCAACTCCCCACGACCACCGGCAATAACACCAATACCGCAGACTCCTCCCTGAACTACTACCTCCAGATGATCCTGTCCATCATCACGGCGCCGCGCTTCCGGCGGTACGCCATCGTCTACCTCTCCCTGGTGCTGGGGTGTCTGGTCGGGTGGGAGTACTTCCTGGCGCCGCGGATGGAGGAGCATGCGGAGTTGGTGAAGGCATTGGATCCGGATGTCGGGGAGAGCGTGGGCGGGTGGTTTGGCGTCAATGCGTTGCCGAGGTTGGAGGGCGTGGTGCTGCTGGGCGAGTTGGCGGGGGAATTGGTTCCGGGGGCGAGTGGGAGTGGGACTGGGAGTGGAAGCGGGAAGAATGATGGGAAGGAGAAGACGGGGACGGGGAGGAGGTTGGTGGTTGTGGGGGATGTTCATGGGTGTAGTTCGGAATGTACGTTTTTCCCTTTCTTTTTTCTTTTTGATCTCTGGGTTCTGTGGGTGGATTGGATTGGGTTGGGTTGTGCAGGGGAGCGGAGCAGACCTTTAGTATACTGAGGAGACAGAGACATGCTAACGTGATATCTGACGATTGGCAGTGGAACACCTCCTAACAGAAGTGACCTTCACCCCCTCAACGGACCATCTCATCCTCGCCGGCGACCTGATCAACAAAGGCCCCGACAGCACAGGCGTGGTCGATCTCGCCCGGAAGTACTCTGCGTCGTGCGTGCGCGGCAACCACGAAGACCGGGTGCTGGTGCTGCGCCGGGACATGATCGACGCGGATACGCTGACGGATACATCCGCAGACGCGTTCCTGGATGGGCAGTCGACGGAGCAGGCGAAGCGGGACCGCACTCTGGCGCGGAAGCTGAGCGACGAGCAGGCGGAGTGGCTGGACGCGTGCCCTGTGATTCTGGATGTCGGGCAGGTACCGAACATGGGCCGCGTGGCGGTCGTGCATGGCGGGCTGGTGCCCGGGGTGGAGCTGGAGAAGCAGGATCCGTTCAGTGTGATGAATATGTTGAGTATTGATTTGGAGACGCATCTGCCTAGTTCGGAGCGGGGGGAGGGGATTAAGTGGACGAAGGTTAGTCAACCAAACTAATCTTACTTATTTAGCATGGGGGAAGAACGGCTGTTATATGGTTGTGAAGATATACCATACTGACCACCAACACAATCCAGCTTTTCAACAAACACCAATCCGTCACGTACTCCAACCTCAAAAGTACCAGTACGGAGGTGGCCCGCGCGCAGACAACCACGGTCATCTACGGCCACGACTCCAAAACCGGACTCAACATCAAGACGTACACCAAGGGTCTCGATTCCGGGTGCGTCAAGGGCGGGAAGCTCACCGCGTTGGTCATCAGTGACGACGGCGAGCAAGAACTCGTCCAGGTCCGCTGCAATAACTACCTCGACAGCTAAGCGGAGGTATCACTGTAGCATTATCTGATATACTATCGATCATCGACCCTCGTCATCTGTTCTCTTCGGGTATCTATCTATCTGTCTTTCTTTTTTGCATGGGCACAGGCACATTGCCATCTATCTCTCTGCTGGTTCGAGAGTCGCTGTATAATTGCTTTCGCATCTGGGTCTCCTTTTTTTTTTTTTTTTTTTTTTTTTTTCCTTCGCATCGGGGATCGGGCGTCTGAGTTGGTTGAGGATGGAGGGTTGAAAACTGGTTCTTAGTAAATCTGGGTATAATGTGTTGGTTAGATGTTGCGATTACTTTGTCGGGAATGGGTTCACAATAGAACAGTTTTATATATAAAATAACCCATTTAGATGAGTAGTTGGTAGTCATGCAAAATATGTATCGTCTAAAGAAATATATGGTGTAGAGATCCAGAATCAGAATTAACTCTATTCCAATGATTGAAGCGTAGATCCACACTCGTGCCTAGTATCATCTCATATCGCAGGCGCTCTCCACTCCCCGTCCGCCCCCCAAGTACCAGGCTTGGTGAAATCTTCATACCAAATGCCCCCCAGGGCATTCACCTTGATATACCCGAACCGGAAGTACTCCGGTTCGTTCGCCATATGGCGGGTCCAATTGAACGAGTCCAGCGCGCCGTCATCCGATTTGAACGAGCGGAATCGTTCGACGTCGTTGACCAGCACACTGATCCCGTCCTTGTCGGGCTCGATATGCGGGAAATCGAACTCAATGTTCTGCGAGGAGAATATACTAGGTGCACCGATAACAGGAAGGATACTTCCTAGCTGGGCGCCGTCGAGCAGAGCGGCGGACGTCTGCAAAATGCTGTCGAAGCCCCAGCGGGCGATGCCGTTGATGAAGAGACCCACCAACAGGCCCTGGTACAGGAGACTCGGGCGTGTTTGGAGGGTTGTCCCAGGGATGAACAGCAGGCTGAGCACGTAGTGATGGATGCGCAGGTTCATGTGCGGGACGACCATCAAGGCAACGACCCCGAGGCAGAGGAGCCCGTACAGAAGCAGCATCCGGGGCATTCGGCCCTCCTGCCGGAATGCGAACGCCTGGGTGATCACGATCAGGACGAGGACGCTGACGATAATAATCAGCGAGAGCAGAGCGCCTGGCTGTTGCTGGATGTCGTGGGGAGTGAGCCGCGAGAGCGGGATCTTGTCGAATGTGTCTGTGTTGAGGGCTCCTACCCAGCAGCTGCCCAGCCACAGGACCGTCTTATCCCAGTGTGCCTCCAGGTCCGTCAAGGTCTTCCGCACGCAGAAATAGTACATTGCGAAACCGACGAAAGCGCAGGGTAGAAAGCGGCCCAGCGCGGTAGACACCACCTCGTAGTAATCCGGCGAGTAGGGCGGGTCGGATGACAGAGCCACCTGGAAGTAGACGATGAAGTAGATCGACCCGTAAAACGCCGACGGGGACGTGATAAACAGCGACAGCAGGGTCGTGACAACCAGCGAAAACGTGAACAGCGGCCACCGGAGATCCTGGCAGCTCGAGTCACCCCCTTCGCTGGCAAAGGTGAAAGAAAGTGGGAAGTAAGAGGAATATCCAATACTGGAGACTCCATTCTTCTTGACCGCCGGGAAGTCGGTCTGTTCGCCTCGTCGACTCAAGACACCACAGCCGCCCTTTTTGTCCTTGATCAGGCCCGCATGTAGCGCCGCAGGACAGATCGCGGAGTCTCCCCGATACACACCAAAATCATCTCCCTCATCTCCCGTGCTACCCCCCACAACCAAAAGTCGATAGTTGTACTCTTCCGGGCCGACAAAATACGGCTCCAGCAGCATGGCATCCGCGCAGCCCGCGGGACAGCGGAACGCAAAGGCCCCTTTATCAAAGGGACGACAGGTATCGCCATTCAGGCCGCAATCCGTCGAATTAGGCCTGTGCGAGGATGAGAAAAAGCAATATAGTAGTGCAGAAAAAAAAGCAAACAGACATACCATAGTCTCGCATGACATGACAGCTTGACCGGCACCCCGTATCCATCGATCTCCTGACCCGCCACAGAGGAATGCAGGATCGAGAGGAAGATGACGAACCAGAGACCGATGCACGCTAACAAGACGGCGAGTCTGGCGCGTTGGGTCGGGAAATGACGCTCCACGAGACGGCCCGGCGCGATCTGCCAGCGGCGCAGCAACGGGGTGATCTGGTACCGGTGTGGCTTGGGGGGGCCGTCCATCCACGCGCGGATGCCAGAGAGAGTGCACGAAAAGCGCTGCAGGGGTGGTCTGTGATGCAGATGGGGAACATCGGAGGTTGGCAGCAGAGGGTCGTCGCTGGTGGTGTCGTACTCGTCGCCCAGGTCCAGGTCGGGCCGGTCGGAGTCGGAGCTCTGCCGCTCGAGGGACACGAATTGACTGCTCCCGGGGTCATGTTCGTGGTCCAGCACGTCCAAGGGGTAGTCCCGGGAGGTCTTTTCGAAGGACGACGAGGGTGACCGGGAGCTGCTTCCTGGGGGGAGTTCCGATCGCATTGTGCTCCATGGATACGAGAGAAAGAACCGAGGGTGGACGTGAAGCGATGGATGGCTACGGGAGGGAGTTCGGCTGCCCGCGACACATGACTGCCACTGCGACCCACTGCCGGTGGATCCTCCCCGGCTACGCAGCAAATCACCATCCAGGCTTCGGTGTGCTATGTATAGGATTGTATAGGATGCTGGGGTAAGATACGGAGCATAGATAGGGATTATTGATTGAAGTAAAACGAGCGACAAGGACCCACAAGCAAGCATCCTCCGAACCGTCCACGCGCCAACCGGGTATCGAATATTAGTATGCATAACAGAGCAACTCAGGTATCATCTCCATTCCACGACCGTATGCCGCCAGCCATCAAGAAACAACAAATTAGTAGTGAGATCGTCAGAAGCATCCAAGATCGTAAGCAGTATCGGATAGAGTAAGATATCCTGCACCAATATCAAAGATTTAGGGCAAGTATCAAAAATTCAGAGCAAGGTGTATATGACGCCGTGCTGTTTCGCGATCAAGAGATCATCCTTAAACGGCAGAGCGACGACCCCAGCGACGGCGACCACTAGCACACGCAATATCAGTACCACCGTGCAAGCAATATCCAACTCAAATGGTAACTTACTATGTGGGCGGAGCCGAGTCCTTCTTGACCCGGAAGGTAAACCAGATTCCCTGCACAACCATCATCAGTAAGCGATCACATCCAGCATAACGCGACTCGAAACGTACCACCAGCGCGGAAGCCAGCCAGACAATGGCAGAGATAAAGCTGAACGCCTCCGCGGCCTTCCACCGACTGCAGGAGTTGTTGTGGGTGAGCCCACCCCAGTGCCAGATGCTACCGCAGTTCAACCGGTGGATGGCATTCACGAGAATACCAAAGGCGGCGAACCAGGCAAGGGAGATGATGAGGTCAACTGCGCGAGGTCAGAGATGCGACAGGATAGGAGCGGAGCATTTGCCAGGAGGGAAGACACGCACACGCCCAGGAAAAGAAGCCTGAGGAAAAGGGGATGAGCCATATCAGCCCCAGCAGGAGGGATAACCCGGCGACAACTTCGGTATAGATCCAACGGGCCTCAGGCCAGCCGTGACCGCTGTACTGAGCGAGATAGTGGCCGATGATTCCTGCGACGACCTATCGTGGAAGAGTACGATCAGCGTGTGTTTTCTTTTCCTTTTAAGAGCGACGTCTGGTATGGGTATGTGGGGCCATACCGCAGCGCAGACGATTTCCGCAACGCGGAAGACGATGGAGACGAGACGCGAGATGACGGGCATGTTGGTGTGGGGTTGCTGTCAATGTAGGGCGTCAATAGATTATGGGAGAACTCCGTATGCAGGAGGCACTGGATGGAGTATGGAGTGGTAGTATGATCTAAATCAGGAGAAGATGCAGGGAACGCGATGAAGAGAAAGTCAGTCCAGGAACCAGCCACGCCAGCGGCAGAACGCAGAGGGTTAAATACGATTTCCTGGGGCCAGGCCCAGGTTCTTTCTCATGACGGCATTATTTCCTGGGCAGAAGAAATTCCCTTGCGCGAGGGAGTGACATGACATCGGGGCGTGGCGGTGATTGGCCGGCCCGGGGGGGGGGGGGGCTTGTGGTGCGGCCTGCCCAACGTCTCCCGCCCGCTGGGGAATGATCGCCCGCCATACTTTTTACAAAATACTTACCATCAACTACTATGATTGCTGTTTGCTATGGCAGGCTACGTCTACGTATACCCCATAGGCAGCATCTTTCCCCCCCCCCCCCCCCCCCCCATCTCATCAGTATCGATCACACGTCTCGCCGTCCACCACAGCCACACCAAGTCCACGCACGTTATACGGAGTAGTCTTCCGTAATATGCAGTCAGAACCGCAATTCTTAACTCCCGAGGCCCCAGTCAGTCAGTCCCAGTACTAGGGCTGAGCGCATTCTCCACCGCCAACCCTCCATCCAGTTCCACGGGTCCCTCAGCAATAGCGTCCCCATCTATCTACATAGTATCCACTGCAGTTCCTTTTCCCCGAGTGGACCTCCCCTAAATTACATACTACATACTACTAAATACTATCACCCACCCATTTGCCGATCAGCCAACCCGCGCGCGAAAAAAAAAAAAGGGGGGGGGGGGGGGGGGAAGGGAGGGCGAGCCTAATAAACCATCCATCCTCAAAAACAAACACCCTTCGTTGGTGTGTGTGTAGAGGGAGTCTTGTGGTGGGGGTGACGTCAAGGCAATCAATGATGGCGTGGCAGCCTGGAGCGAAGGGAGGACAGATGTGGCACTGCACGGTAGATGGCAGTGTCGGTGTTCGACAGGGTGTTGTGCTACGAAGTACGGAGTCCAAGGAGAAGAAAATTTGCCTAGTATGTGAGGGGGCACTGCACTGCACTGCACTGCACTGTATCTACTACTTTGTATTCTGGCCTGCCAAGTGGACTGACTGGTGCGTGGGCTAACTGCAGGCTTCGTCACTGACGTCATCATGCATGTTCTGGGCATGGATAGTAGTACTGTGTGATGGATGGGAATGGGACGCATGGACCAACCTCGGACGTTGGATCAGGTGTTGTGCTAGAAATTTGGAATGGGCAATATTCTGGTAGATTCTGCGGTGCCGAAGAACAGTGTGGTATTGGCACTACTGTTTGTTCCCAGGGGAACCTCCTCTCCTGTTCCTATTATTATTAAAACCGGCTCGAGCTTTCCACCCAAAAAAAAGGAACTCCCACTAGCTCGCTTTAGGTTATCGCGCGAAAACCTTAAGACGGCGGGCAGAACTCGAAGAACCATTTGCACACTTTGCCTTGTGACTCGATTTCAGGGAAGGGAGGGATATACAAGGGCTGCGTGCAGGGAGTGGGAAAGGAATATACATAGGATATGAAGATACAACATACTACTTACTATCTAGAACTCCGATAAACCGGCCAGCTGGTTCGTATTAACAGATCATCAGACTATTGGTACATGTGTTCAAGGAAATATGCGACAGGCCCATCATCCCGGATGGCTCAACACTGTCCGCCGGAAAGCAGAAACGAAAGATGGGTACGCGAAAGGGAGATTGGACAGAGAAGGCAAGGCGCGTGAGTGAAAAGTAAAACACCACCATCCCAGACAGATCACACGTGCTTCCGATCCGCCAGAAGCCACTCCATGACGGACCGATACACCCCCTTCGCACCACTCTCCACCACATCCCCATGGCACGGAATCAGCCGATTAAAATCCCAGCCATCAATCCTGCGCACCGACTCCGCAAACGCCGCCCGATCCCCACTCGACAGCACATACCAGACAAACCTCTTCTGCCACGTCGTCGACGACCCCGTGGACAACAGCGGCGACACCATCTTGGTCAGGATGCCCGAGGTTGCGCTCTCCTTCGTCTTGGAGTACTGTTCGCGGGCGGGCAAGTTAAACAGCAGATCCGCCTCGATCAGCGTGCGCGACGGTCGGTGGTAAAACACCAGCTCGCGCGACGGATGGCTATGCACGTATTCAGTCTCGAACTCCGCGTCGAATTCCTCCGAGATGCTCTGCGATCGGCTAGCGGGGGTGGTGGTCGCATCTTTGTCGTCTTTCCGGAAGACATGCTCGAAGGGGCTCGCGTCTTTGGTTTGGGGGTTGGATTGGCGCTTTTCCCAGAGTCCTTCGGGGGCGATGATGGCCGCGTCGGGGAAGGCTTCCTTCCAGGCTTTGAGGTGCAGGTGGTGTTCCATGTCCAGCGCCGCGATGTATTTGATCGTGCCGCCGAGACTGGCGATCGTTTCGTGGACTTCCGGGGTGAGGTTGACGGGGGAGAAGACGGCTACAGAGCCGGTCGCCATTTTGACTGCATTAGGGAGGTATGGTTAGCATCTATACCGCCTCGTGCGATGCAGATTCTCATTTTGGCTGTGCGAGATAATCGGCAGGAATGCAGTACGGATCGCAAACTAGCAGGGAAAGCGAACCTAGGGTGCCTCTTCCTCCGAACTTCAAGCGACCGAACCGCGCAAATGGCAGGCTCAAGGTGATCACGTTGGAGGTCACATTGCGGATCACCATCACGTCCGCCGGGTTGCTGGGGAAGAGTCGGGGTGCCATGATGGACCGAGCTTGCGGTACGAGCTTCAGGGGCACAAAAGTTGAGCAGTGCCTTCCTCTGTGGAGGGGAGGAGGGTGTGACAGGTCGCATGGAGAAGATAAGGTCGCGATCGATCGGGAGGCGCCTGATGGGGATGGCAGCCGTTATGACGTAAGGTACCCCCGGCCTTTGTCCGCAACCAGCAGCGGCATTCAGGCCATGCAGATCGCATTGCTGCTCTCAGACGAGTACCTCCTTCCGAAATGTGCAAGCTCGATCAATTTGCTTTGAAAGTGAGTAATGTCTCTGCAGTCAGGTCCTATCCAGATCCTACTATTCTGAGCTATATCAGGTGTTGGGCCGGTCGCCTAGCTGCCCTGGCCGACCCACCTATATGTTGAGGGTTTGCTACCACGAGCTTAAAACTCACTTGTACAATGTACAAAAAAGATTGATTTTGGTATTGTGTAAGAAAGGGGCAGGTTAGAAGCTGTCCTACAAAACAAGTCTGTCATTACTGCCCTTCATAACAGGTACTGTGGATGGGCCATTTTGGCATGATGTCCGGTAATATATTCCAGACAACTAAGGTCGTGGATACGGTCCACCACTACCTTGCATCCACTTCGAGAAAGAAAAACCCGCCACTGGTTCTGAAAGCAAGAAACACCAAACTACCTCCGCAGAGGCTTCCTTGGTCTTGGATCGTCTCCCAAAGACCCGTTTTGGTCAGTGCGGACTGGATGAGATCGTCGGTCGCGGTCTGCTGCGAAGCCAGCCTCGTTTGTTCAAAGTCTCCAACAAGAGTAGCAGTATCTCCACTGCCAGAGCCACCGAAGCGACAATTGAGATTGTTTCCTCATTGCCTCTCAGGTAGAGGCTTCTCAGTTGCGTCGCATTGAAGAGGATGTCGGAGAGGAGATAGATGCAAATCAACGACGATGGGCGCACCGATCGCGTGTGTTCGAAGCCGGACAGCACAAAGATGATACCTGCGCTGAGTAAAGACAAAGTTGCCGATGCGATGGAGACCTTGGCTGCGGGATGGATAGACCACAGCGCTAACAGGGCGACGCGTAGTCCAGCTAAGAGTGCGGCAACGGCCTGAACTCATGATTACTTGCCCACATTGCTTTGGCAATGGAAGGATGAGAGGTAATCCTTATTGCTTTCGCGTTCCTGATCGGGTGAGCGATGGTTTTCACGTTGCTCTGGATGAGAAAGGAGAGGAGGGCGGGAGATAAAGAAAGAAGTAGGGAGACTCAGTGTAGATAAATCAGCCTTCCAATCCCTGGGAATCCGCTATCCCACAAACAGAAACTTTGTTGAAAGACCACAACAGACGCCGTAGCACCGCGGAAGAATTGGACTAGGATGAATCAGGCTTACCATATTCATCCGGTATATCTTGACAATTGACACTGAGGCTCTGACGCGGAAATCGCCCCTTTAAGACACCATGACATGTAGGTTGCAACAATGCGGATACCATCAACATATGCGAGTGTTTTGGTCTTTGACACGATGATATGAGCGAGGATGGGGGTTATGATCCGGAAGACAAATGTAAGAGTTCTCGCTACTTACCATCTCTCTGTCCAACTCTGCGTGGTGAGCTTTCCAGGTATTGGGTCATTTGATAATATCCAACCTATCACTTCCATCCACCTAGTATCGGAATTTTACAAGCAAACAATGCTCTATTTCTTTCATATGTTCTAACGCTCTTCAGGAATGACAAGTCCCCACTCATGCTCAGTCAGGCCCAGCATAATTCCCCTCATCTTTTCCTTGATGAAAGTGGCATATTTCCCGTCCTTTCCCTTCTCACTTGGAAAAAACACAGTTTTATCTTGGTATCCAACTTCGTCCACCGGGACGATAAAGTACTAGAATCAATAAAGTATCAGTGAGCTGCGGTCTGCAGAGACTGGCATTGAATGAGAAGAGCGAAGAAAATAAATCCACCTACCGCAGTACCCACAGCAAACGCCTCCAATAGTCGACCTTCATCACCAGCCTCCAGCACCTCCTGCATGGTAAACTTCTGCTCCACGACCTCGACGTTCTCGAATCCCTCTTGCTTCATGGCGACTGCTTCTCTCGCGATTTCCAAAACGCTCCTCCTAGTCACGCCATCGAGAATAATCTTCCCATCCAGCGGGGGAGTAACAAGCTGCACGATTCCGTCTTTTGTCTTCCACACCAGGAAGAAATTACTGGCTCCAGCCTCCGTCACCTGTCCTTCCTCCCCCAGGAGCCACAAAACCTGTTGATAGCCTTTCTCCTTAGCATACTGCTGAGCAAGAAGGGCCGGTCCGTAATTCGCTCCAATTTTCGCAAACCCAAACCCCCCGGGCCAGGCCCTAACCATGCTCTCCTGGCTGGCAAGCAACCTCAACCCCGAGGACGCGTCCTGCGGAAAGATGGTGAAATAACTCGCAACGATATACAACAGGGCATCTTTCGGGGTCTGAGGGTTCAGCGATTCCGTGGTGCCTATCAACGTCGGCCGGAGATACAGATAGCTGCCTGGCTCTGACTCCGGCAACCACTTTTGTCCGTCCACCGCCATCAAAGCAACGATGAGCTTCTGCAGCTCTGCGGGGTCGAATGCGGGGAGGGAGACTCGCGTGGCGGAAACGAGCATGCGTTCGGCATTGCACTGGGGCCGGAAAAGTCGCAGCTTTCCATCATATCCCCTGTATGCCTTCATGCCTTCGAAGCATTCCGTTGCGTAATGCAACACCGAAGCCGTGGGCATGAATGATAGGGGCCCATAGGCTTCGAGCTTGGGATCCGACCAGCCGGCTTTTTCGTTCCATTTCACGGTGATCATGTGGTCGGTACATCGAGATCCGAGGCTACTCAGGCGCTCCGATGGGCTTGGGACTGGTTGGGGTGCGTTCGTTCGCTCGATGACCAGCTTCGAGGCATCGAGCGGCGTAGGAGCGTGCTCCATAGGCAATTCGGATTCTACAGCCATATTCCCAGCTCCAGCTTCTTCTTCTTCTTCTTCTTCTTCTTCTTCTTCTTCTTCTTCTGCTGTTAACCGCAGGCCTCTGAACAGCAATAATGGTCGGTGGGGTATTCCGTCTATAGCGGGGGTGATGGGTGATTAGAGGTCCCTTTGCTGACTGCTTGATACCGCTATTCTGCGCAAGGAGGAAGAATGAAGTACGGGGATTCTAGAGAGGAGCGCTTCTCAGATCTTATATGGCCAGACAAGCCTTTCCGTAGATCCTTCATGCCAGTATTCGATGCATCCAAAACCCAGTTCTTTTCGTCAGCCATGGGAGGCCTAGTCATCGCTATCGCCCAGTCATCTCCGCGGTTGGATGTCGATCGCACGGCTCGATCTTACACATTAGTTACTTACCATGCTGTCAGCTGAGCCCAATCTCCCCCACCTTCCGGTTTAGTCAGTCATCAGCATCACTGGTGGCTATTTTACTTTCTACTTATCTCCTGCATTCCCATGCGTATATATGGCCCGCCCTGTTTCCTCCAGGGTTTCTGCCCGGTGAGTACAACTTTCCATGCCTTACCAGGATCGCTGTGAGCATCGTACTGCATTGCAGATTGACTAAATAAGGCGCGGTAAATGGTGAAAGCCAACCCGCCTCTGATTACTAGCGCCTGCATTTCCCCCCACCACTGTGGAACCCACTGGAGCACTCACTCACTGTCAAACCCAGTATCATTCAGTATCAACCACACCTCCTTAGGTGTCTGGACACCTTTTTGGCCGAGTGGTCTTTTTGGTCTGTCAGTCACTCACTCACTCCAATCCAACCACAGAAGCGCCCCTCCCACGACTCTGAAACTCAACAATCGGCCCATCCCTCGCAGCATTGAACCGATCATCGATTCTATATTCGTTGCACCCACTACTCCACGCAGCCGACGTCACCCCCGCATCCCCCAGGGTGGACCCTGGATGTAACCTGACCCTATACATGCACAGCACGCGAGCAAGAATGGTCGAAAGATCACCATACGCGAGACTCTTGCCGATACACCCGCGGGGGCCCAGACTGAACGGGCAGAAGGCACTTCGAGCCAGAGCCACCGACTCCTCCGTGACGCCAGGCTGAGACCCCGGGATCCATCTCTCCGGACGGAATGCGAATGGCTGCGGGAAATACTCCGGGTTGTGGTGGATGGCATAGATGCCTGTCCCTATCACGGTTCCGGCGGGGAGGAAGTGGCCTTCAAGGATCATTCCGCCCGGGAGGACCTCTCTGGGGAGGGTGCCCGTGACGGGAGGCGATAGGCGCAGGGCTTCGTCGATGCAGGCGCGGAGATACGGACATTGGTCTTTCCGGGGCGAGGGGAACCCGATGGTACTCGGGTTGTTGCTGTTGGAGGGGAAAGTGGAAAGTATTTCTGTTTCGAGCTTTTGGAGGACCCGGCTGTCGTGCACGAGGTAGTAGAGGGTCGCTGCGAGTGCGGTGGCCGTAGTGTCGGACCCGGCGACGACAAGCATCCTGCACTCTGCCCAGAGCTCGGGCATCGAGAAGTGGTCTTCTTCTTGGTCGGAGTCGCTGCTGATGAGGTAGTGGAAAAGATCCTTCTCTTTGATATTGGGTCCAATTTGGATTCGCTGGTTGGCCTTCTCGTTGCACAGGTTGATGTAAGTTTGTCTCTTGTCTGACAGGTTTGGAAAAATCAGCTTGCCTAGAGGGAGGGTGCGGAGAAGTGGAAAGCTTCCACTCTGCCAATATTGGTCAGTGGTTTCTATTCTGTTCTATCATGAAGCACCAGCATGCCAGAAGGGGGGGGGGGGGTTACCATAAGTGACCAATACGCCGTAGCGGCGATCAAATCGATGATGTAGCGACTCTTGTCGCTTTTGAGCATGTTGAATGAATCCCTGCCGAACGCTAACTCGCCCAGAATATCATATGCCACATAATTCGCAAGATCGGATATGTTGACAGCGCCGGTCCATCCCGTCTTCGGATCCGGATTCGAGCCTATCTGCACGCAAAATGTATTGATGCATCGATTAATGCGATCCTCCATCGACTTCAGTGCCACCTCTGTAAACGCGGGTGCCAGTGCACGTCTGAGGGGATACCCAATTAGCAGGACATCCAGAGATATTCGAGATCCATCCATCCATCTGTCTACCTTTTACGCGCGTGAAGAGTCTTGTCAACGCAAGTGAAGGTGCTCCACCCGCCCTTATGCGCGACGAAGGCATGGTAAAACGATGACTTTTGCACATTGGCCTTGGTACCGTAGATCTCTTTCAGGCCGGTGTTGGTATTGATCGATAGATAGTTTGGTCCGAGCCGAACGAAACCCCCCAGCCTTTCATGATACATTCGCTGTATCAGATGTCGATCTCCTTTCCAGGCGTGATAGAGCCCATGGAGGCCGGAGACCTTGGCAAACCATGGCCCCGGGAAGTGAGATAGAGGGTGGAAGTACAGTCGATAGATTGAAAGAGAAACTACGTAAAGTAGACACACTGTACATACTATCGTGATCGGGGAAGATGTATTGGAGATGATGAGGCTCAGATAGACGGTCATTGTGGGTGTAAAGAGCGATTGAAAATATTCAAATTGTGGTTGACGGCTTGAGGGAGGACTTGAGGTTCGAGGATGAGCTGCTACATATGCATGCACAGTATCACAGTTACCCCTCTTCGATCCCCGGGTCGAGCAGTCACTTGATTTTTGTGACTCGTCTCTCGCCTGCCTTTAATAAATATGTAAGTCTGTGTGCATAGAGACCAAATTGCTACTAACTGTAGTCTCGGGTATCTGACAAGCTTATTGATTTATTTTAGATATTCTAGAGACTGTAAGGGCAGGAGACTTGTTATTTAATTAAAACCTCACCAGGCACAACCGTCTTACCATCGCGAATAATTGTTTACTCCACCCTGTAACTAATTCAGTGTTTATATTCAAGCCAGCCAAAAGTTGATAATGACCAAAAGGAACAAGTAGACTCTGCTTCATAGTGATCATGCGTCGTAGAAAAAAAGAAAACAAAACATCAACTATATATCTACACTATGACGAATTGCAATACGAACCAGATGAACACCTTTCACAGCAAATGGGTATCACGCTAGCCACGGGAACAAGAACCAAACACTCCAGCAATAGAAACATACACCAACCACCCCGATGAATTCACCCGTTGTCTTCAGCCATGCCAGGTTTGTGCTGTATTTTGCGACTCTTCCTCGCGGTGGGGAATGATGGATTCCTTAATGTCGTACACTTTGGTCAAATCCCGCCAGGTCTCGAAGTCGAGGGTGAAGATGGCTTGATGCTTCTGGATGCCCTTCTTCTGGGCTTCGCTGGGTGCATGGGGTTTCGCGGCATCTGTCCCGGGGAGGATTAACACTATACATAAACAAAACTGAGCACTGTGGAGGACTTACGCAAAGTAGGCAAACCCCGACTGTCTACCGAGATGCCAACCATCCCATCTCTCACCAAGAAGCTCACATAGAAGAGATTCTCCACGCTCTGTCCAAATGAGGTGGGGTTGATGCAGAACTGGAATAAGGGGACACCGCCGTCGTCAGCAACATTGTGCTTGGCCATGACTTCCTGCACCATTTCTTCCGGAGGGTCCTCCGGTAGATGCGACAGTTGCCTCTCCACAACATCTTGGCCGTGGTTTTGTGTCTTGGCCAACAGTTTGTTGATGCTGGCACACATGGTGGTAAGGTTCGAAGTTTCCTGCCTATCCAGATCATCGTCTTTGAGGTCTTGCGGTGCGACGGCCTTTGTCGGGTCAATTCGCTCCCTGGTCCGCCGTGCAGCCTGCTGCCGGATGCGCTTCTGTACCGACAGTGGTCCCAGTAGGAATCCGGGAACCGGCGGGCGGGAGTTGTTACAAAAACAAGCCGCGCGTCCGAGCCAGTCCCAATTCATTGCATCCCCCTGGTCGTCGTCGTCGCTATCGTTGGGGTTCTGTTGGCTCCTCGCGAGACCCGTGCGACGGCGCTGGGTGCTGCTAGGGAACGAGGCTTGAGGGTCCTGAGGACCCCGCCGCATGAATGAGATGCACTTCGAGACAAACTCATCGACATCTACACCGGCGCTAGCATCTCCCAAGACTAGCTGTGCGGTCTTCTTGTACGACATGTCCGCCGCGGTGACAAGCAATCGAGAATCGATGGTTGCATCGGAGGTCTGTTTGACATTTTCGAATAGATTGTTCGCCTTCTGGATCGTATCTCGGATTCCATGATTGCCTGCCTGTAGAAATTCGGTCCTGGAGTCTAAAACACACTGCAGTCAGGCACCGCCGTACAACACGCACGCTGGAAGGGCCCTACCATTCAAATCCCGCGTCAAATCTCTCAGGCCCTTGCGAATCCGTCGCCGTTCGACCTCATCCTGGTCGGGATCGTAGTACTCGTTGTCACGGCTCGCCCGTGGCGGCGGCGGGGCTTGAGATGAGCTGGCCTGGACATTTGAGTCTCTAGCCGACAGTCGTGGTCGCTTCCTGTTAGACTGGGAGGCCATTGTTTGAGTTTGGGTTCTTTTGGCGACACCTGATGATCTTCGGCGATTCTCCTTATCGGACAGTCCTGAAGATCTGGGGGAAGAAGAGGATGCCATGTCTTGCGGAGTCGATGTTCTTCTGCGCGACAACGGAAACACGGAGGGGACAAAGAACGCGATTGCGACCGGCTGATGTCAACTGGCGGAGGTGGGAGAAGACTTCAGAAGAACAAAGAAAGAGCGCAAAGAAGGCGAGGAGAAGTAAACACACGAAAGCCACGCGGAGATGGCATCGATGATTGGCTCCAAGCTGACCCCAGAATAGCAACGAGCGTTTTGCCTCTGGCACTTCACTTCCATTTTGCGCCAGCGTTCGAGGCGCGCCCCGAACGCGTCCCGTCACGTGCCGGCAGCGGACCCCGCGTCATCCGTCATCCGTCCGCCGGCTGCCCCAGGCATCGTCTCCGGCCGGAGCTCCCCATCAGGCGTCACTGTCACTGCCGACTGCTGCCATCCGAGGTGGAACCCAGCAGAGGATGGAGGCGTTCACGTTCGCCGTTTCCACGCAGGTGGACTTTCCCATCCATGTCAAGATGTACGCATCCCTTCATTCTCCCCGGTGATCATTAACAATGTCCATCTGACAAGCAGTGAAGTGGCTCCTTGGAGGGAAAGCAGAAACAGGTACCTTTTTCGGTCCTTCTCAAACAGCCCGAATTGCGCCACATTGGCTCCGCGCAGAACCCCGTCTCCGACCTCTTCGTGACGATACAATTATGGTCCGCATCCAAAGCGCTGGGGGTCCCGCTGCAGACTTCCTACAAGCCGTTCAAGTCCGCTCGCGCATGGAATGAATGGCTCCAGATGCCGGTCTCGATCAAGGATGCCCCCCTCAAAAGCCAGCTGGCCATCACGGTCTGGGATCTTTCGCCTTTTGGCGGCGAGGGAGCGCGTGGGCATTACGTGCCGTTTGGTGGGACCACCATATCACTGTTCGATGACGATGGCAAGCTCAAGACGGGCAGGCAGAAATGCAAACTATACCGGCATAAAGCCGCAGATGGCTTTTCCTCGACGACAACCCCGTCGACTCCGCCGCCGAAACGTCGCAAGGCCAACGCCCCGGATCCGCTAGGGCCGTCCGCCGAGGAGATGGAACTTGAGCGCGTGGAGGTGTTGATCAAGAAACATGAGATGGGAGAAATACCGCGAATTGACTGGATGGACCAGATGGTTTTTCGTCAGCTGGAAAGGCTTAAACTCAATGCAGACGAAGCTGTAAGGAAACGAGCCATCCTTATGAAGGCGAAGAAACAAAAAGATTCGGAAAATCAGGGGGCGGACGCAGATGATTCGGATGACGAATGCGTGGACGACGAGAACTTTACTCTCTACGTCGATTTTCCGCGCTTCGACCATCCCATCGTCTGGTCGGATCATGAGTACCCACCGCCTCCTGTTTCGGCCTATCCGCAAGGTGCGCCCGCAAATGCCAATTCTGCGCTGAAGCCCCTTCCAGAAGTCCGCTTTGGTCCCGGGATAGAAGGTGCAGATGGTGGAGGGGTGATTAGAATATACGACCCGGAAGTTGGCCAGACAGGTAACCCATGCGAGGACAAGCACCGGAGACTGATTCGTAGCCATCGGACCGGCATTATGGATCGAGATCTGAAGCCCAATCCCAAGATTCGTGATGAGCTCAACGTGATCTTGTCGTACGAGCCAACGCAGGATCTGACTGCTGAAGAGAAGGACCTTGTCTGGCGGTTCCGCTATTTCTTAACTCGTGAGAAGAGGGCGCTTACCAAATTCGTGAAATCGGTCAATTGGCGCGACGTTGGTGAGGCGCATCAAGCCGTCGAAATTCTCCCGAAGTGGACCGAGATCGATGTTGACGATGCTCTTGAGCTCCTTGGACCAACCTTCGACAATGCTGCAGTTCGTTCATATGCGGTCGAGCGTCTTCGCAAGGCTGACGATGACGAGCTTATCCTCTACCTCTTACAGCTAGTGCAAGCGCTGAAATACGAAGATAACTCTAACGGCGATGCGGAGGACGTGGCACACGACTCATCCTTGGCCAACTTCCTCATCACCCGTGCAGCCAACAATTTCAAACTGGGCAACGATCTTCATTGGTACCTTATGGTCGAATGCGACGATGCCGGACCAGGGACTCTATCGACGCAGCGCAGGCTTTTCGCTCGCGTGGAATACTACTTCATGGCAGAGCTAGAGCAAATCCACCCCGACTACCGAAAGACACTCTTACGACAGGGCGAGCTTGTCGCGGTACTCACCAAGATGGCCAAGGAGGTGCGATTCTCGCGCGAGAACCGAGTCCTCAAGATAGAGAGACTGAAAAAGTACCTGAAAGATCCGAAGAACGACCTACTCCATATCGATCCTCCGCTGCCACTACCACTGGACCCCGACATTCTTGTGACAGGCTGCTACCCCGAAGAAGCCAACGTCTTCAAGTCCTCTCTCTCCCCTCTCCAAGTGATGTTCAAGACGTCTGACGGTCGTAAATACCCCATCCTTTTCAAACTCGGCGACGACCTCCGCCAGGACCAACTCGTCATCCAAATCATCATCTTGATGGACCGTCTCCTCCAAAAGGAAAACCTCGACCTCAAACTCACCCCATACCGCATCCTCGCGACCAACGCCACCGCCGGCGCCGTCCAATTCATCCCCTCCGCCTCCCTCTCCGCCATCTCCGCCAAATACAAATCCGTTCTCGCCTATCTCAAGGCCAACAATCCCGACGACAACGAACCCCTCGGTGTCCGCAAAGAAACCATGGACACCTACATCAAGTCGTGCGCCGGATACTGCGTCATCACCTACCTCCTCGGAGTCGGCGACCGCCATCTCGAGAACCTCCTCCTCGCCCCCGACGGCCACTTCTTCCACGCCGATTTCGGCTTCATCCTCGGCCGCGACCCCAAGCCGTTCGCGCCCATGATGAAGTTGTGCAAGGAAATGGTCGAGGGCATGGGCGGCACCACCTCCCCCCTCTATCTCCAGTTCAAGCAGTACTGTTTCACCGCCTACACGACCCTGCGCAAATCCGCCAACCTCATCCTGAACCTGTTCAGTCTGATGGTCGATGCGAATATTCCGGATATTCGCGTCGAGCCAGATAAGGCCGTGTTGAAGGTCAAGGAGAGGTTTCATTTGGAAATGACGGAGGAAGAAGCCATTCGCCATTTTGAACAGCTGATTAGTGATAGTGTCAATGCTATCTTCGGGGTCGTGATCGATCGATTACATGAGTTTGTGCAGGGTTGGAGGGCTTAGCCAGTGTTTTTTTTTGTTTCGTTTTATTATTTAGGTATTTATTCCCCGAGTGTTAGGTTCCCTTGGTGAATGCATCATGCGGCTTGGGATACTTTACTTTGAGGGCTGGCTGACAGTACCCACGATTGGAGTCTGGATGGGTGGGTGGATTGATGGATTGATTGATTGATTGATTGATGGGATGGCGCGGCGCAGAATTCATTACTCTATGCTATGTTTGTATGTCTGGTGGATGATTGATACCCTGCTTTCGCTGAGAAGCGGATACTTAATGATGTATCTAGATAGCTTGAATTTAGATATATAGACATATTCTTTGTATGTGTGTGTGTGTATGTGTGTGTGTATGTGTATGTGTGCTAGACGTTTTTGTAGTCATGTACGTTCACCTCGTTTACTCTATCCAACCGCTCTCACGTAAATCCATTTAACGATGACCAGTCCAGTAAAGACACTCGCTCACTCAACCGACCTCCCAGACTCCTCATCCGTCCGTTCCCAGCCCCGCAGCTCGATCCACTCATTCCCCGTTTCGTCGCCTCCACACCGAGCTGTGCCTAAATCGCCCGACCTCCGATCCTCACCCACGGCGGCAGCCTTGGGATCTGAAAGCACTTCCTGCGCGACCAGCACCCCGCTGGTTTGCTCCTCGTGGATCTTCGTCTCGGCATCTTCGTCATCTTCGGGTGTGCCCTCTCTGCATGCCCACGCGTCTACGAATCGGAGGACCTCGCGCGGCCACCAACGCTTCATGACAAGGAGACGGAAGGGGACCAGGGCGACAATGAGGACGGGAAATGCAGGGGCGCCACGCGTGAGGGTGAGGATGAAGATGGCTACGGTGATGATGATCTGGAGGAGGGTGTAAAGGTGGATAGGAATGTAGGAGGGGGAGGGTGGTGGGGAGGTGTCGTCGGGGGTGGTTTGTATTGATGCCAGAGAGGGGGGGAGAGGGGGGAGTTCGGAGGGCGGGGTGAGGAGGTAGAATGTTCGATAGAGGATGGGGCTAGGGCTTATTGTTAGTTTTTGCTTTCTTTGATGAGGTTGGAAGAAAAGGAAGGAAGGAAGGTCTGCACTGTTAACTTATGAACTTACTTGACGGATAGGCTCTGCTCCCCCATGAACATGAATAGTCCTGCCAAGACGCTGGTGGGGGTTAGGCCCAGGACTATCATGAATGGGGGACTGATGAAACAGAGAATAGCAGCTGAATGGAGGAAGGATGACCAGCGTTGTTCATAGACCCTTTTCACTTCGTACGTCTCGACTTTTTCTTCCCCGTCGACGGTGATGACGCGCTGTTCTTTTTCGATATGCATGAGGGATTCGGAGTGTAAAGGTGCTTGGGGAAGGAGGCCGTTGGCGGGTGGTATGCCCAGTATACCGCATAGGGCTGTTGTGGTGCCGAGAAGGACAACATCCCACGCAAAGCCGCCTGGTTTCCGGGTTCCGTAGCGGTCGATCGTGCAGATGATGGAGCTAACTTCGTGGTCGAAGAAGAAGAGAATCGTGATTATGATTCCCGGGATAATGGCGGCAAATACCCAGCTAACGGGAAGGTGCCAGAACTCGATGAAAAATTTGTCGCGGCTGGGAGAAGTTGGTTTGAACGAGGTGCTGACGGGAAGGGTCATCTTGTCCAGGTTGGCTAGCTCCCCGACGTGGGGGAGCCCGATGAATATGATAATGGAGATTGCCGCAGCGTACTCGGTTAAGCCCATTCGGATATACCGATGGAACAACGGGCGCCAGCTTTCCGCTGTGGAAAGGAAGATTGCGAGGAGCATCGTTCCCACGGCCCCTATGACAGCGTACAAGAATGCCGCAAAGGAGAGGCTTTCGTGGGCTCGCTCGAGCTCCTGGATGGCCTTGTGGAAGTAGATGATGCTATTGAGGAGGGAGAAGATCTCCGTTGCAAAGGTGGTGACGTAGCGCATGGTCCAGTCATGGGCGTTTATTATGGCTAGCACATAATGAAGCCAGCCAGCGTGGATGAGAGACCACGCCATGAACGGTAGAAAAGGAACCTCGAAAATATCGTTGCATAATGCATAGATATTCTCGGCCAGGACTGAGAAGGGACCAGTCACGCCAAGGATAGTCAATGGCTGGATGGAGAACCTGGTGCTTTTGTGAGCCTCTGGGTTTCTAGATGAAGACACTGAAGACTTACAATGAGAAGATGACCCCACACAGCCCAGTACTGAACACTACCTCGATTGTTCCCCAGTTCTGACCCGTCTCTACGTAAAGATCACTCGCAAACGTGATCCCAGGAAGGAGGTTTGTAAAGAATACATAGACCGCACTGGCGAATATCAACTGATTGAACACTGTCCAGTCGGAGATATATCGACGGCGCAGGTTGGTGAGGTCTTGCTTTACCAGTCGAAATGGACGCAATGGCCCTCCGGAAGCGACGGAGCCCCGTAGGACCCGAAATGCCTTTGGTGTATGTTTGGAGGGGGTGATGATAGAATGTGCATCGTGGCCTTCTTCTTCGTCCTCCTCGTCATCGTCGTGGTGTCGGTCTAGCTCATGATTGTGTGCTCGTTTTGGGGATCTCCGTTGTCTCCGGGATCTGTGACGCAGTGAGGAGACACGCGTAGACGGCGGACGGAAAGCCGAAATCAAAGGCATTTTGAGTCTTCGGAGTCATGGTAGAGAGGAGAATGTGGGGAGGAAATGGGGAGCTGGAGGGGTTGGTGTTGGTTTGATGCCGCCTTGGCCGTCATGACGTATCCGATCCAACGCTTACCGGTATCTTTCCGATAACCACGTCAGCCTGCCCGAGGTATGGGGGTGATAAATAACCTGGTCATGCGGGAATGTTGTCGCATTCTCTTCCCGAGCAATGGCAGGATAGCGATATCTCGAGCGACCTTTCGTCTCCGTCAATTGTCGTCGTGAGCAGCAACAGCCGCCGATCTTCGGCCGTCGGTATTTGGAGGCAGACCGCCTTCCTCACCGCCATGGCCGACGGACGAAATCCCGTCCGCCGCGGAATTTCCTCTCCTGGTGCCAATCGCCAGGAAACATGCATCTAATCCCCTCGGTTTCCCAACCATTCCCGCGCAGGACGGGCTGAACAGTCTACCGTAACAGCTAGATGGCCTGATACTCATGGCTGCCCGATTCATTCCGCGCCAGGTCTTCCCCTATCATGGGTCCATACCCCGGTCCTACTACCTGGGCCACCACAGGTCCGGGCTGGCCGCAATGAAGGAAAGGCTGTCAGCTGTCGATTATATCATCGAATGCCGCGATGCCAGAGCCCCTGTCACCTCAATGAATCCAATCTTTGAAGAAGCCCTGGGGAACTCCAGACGGATGATCGTGTATACCAAGAGAGACCTGGCCACTGACCCCGGGTCACAGGAACGGAGAAAGGTGAACCGAGAACACCGTCTTTGCGAATCATGCCTGTGCTACAGGATGGCTAACGACTTCTCTATTCTCTGTACAGCTGGAAAATGAAGTCCGACTCTTCCATGAAAACACTCCCAGCGTCTTTCTTAGCACGACTGTTCGTTCGGACCTGACCCGGGTCTTGTCGCACATGCGGGCCGAGGCGTTAGCACTCCAAAAGCCCGTGGGGTCTCGCGTGATGGTTGTGGGTATGCCGAACGTCGGCAAGTCGACGCTGCTCAACAATCTCCGTCGATTAAGCACGAGCAAGGCCAAGGCGGTGCGGACAGGAGCTCAGCCTGGAATAACCAGAAAGGTGGCGACCCCGGTGAAGATCCTCGAGTTAGACGATGGCTCCCCTGTCTACCTGATGGACACTCCGGGTATCTTCATGCCATACGTTCCGGATGCAGAGAACATGCTGAAGTTGGCACTGTGCGGCTGCGTCAAGGATTCGGTCATCGCCCCCGTCACATTGGCCGATTACCTGCTATATCATCTGAACCACCGACACCCTGACGTATACGGGCAGTGGTCTGAACCAACAAACGAGATCAATGATCTTTTGGACCAGTTCGCCCGCAAAACTGGTCTCTTGAGCAAGGGAGGTCAACCAAACATCGACCTCGCGGCACTAAACTTCATCCAGAAATGGCGCGACGGTCAACTAGGCAGGATCATGCTGGATAACATACAAGAGGAGAAACGCCGACAAGAAGAGAAACTAGACGACCCAGGCGCGGACGTGAGCACCAGCATCACCCAGGCCTTGAAGACGAGTAAGATCAAGATCAAAGAGCGATCTAAGGGCCAATAGAAAACACATTGTATCAAAAACCCACTCGCATCCATTGTACAAAAGAACGAATCATGTTGGTATCATCAATGAGCTTTTGCCTCCCCTCGGATGCATAGTAGACTGGTAGATCCGCCGGAAGACGCGGAGGGGCCAAGGAACCCGGAAATCAATGAGTATGAGACAAGACAGGAAATAGAACACAATCACCGATAACGCCCATGACGGAAAACGAAAACCCCGGGGATGAAAAAGAAAGAAAGCACAGGATGACAGGAGACTTCAAGACGCCCCCAACGCACAATGCACATCGCATCCGCCTCAAGAGATCTTGTCCAACAGCCTCCTCCTTCTCCGATCCACCAACTCCTCCTGCACCTCGTCCAGACTCGGCAGCCTCCATTCGACTCCATCGCCAGCATCCCCAGGCAAAGGTTCCCAGCCATCCTCGACATCATCCCCCTTTCTGCGCAGCCTCTCCACGGCCTCCTTCTCCTTCCCTTTCTCATACGCCACCAACGACCCATCCTCCTCATCCAACCCATACCCGAAGTAATTCGCATCGACCTTCTTAGTCGCCACATCCCCACCCCTCCCGCCCTCCTGCTGGTCCTCTTCCGCAGGCCTCCCCCGTCTCGCGGCGGCCTCAAACATCTCCTTCACGCCCGGCAACTCCCTCGCGCGCCCAAAATAGCGATATCCCTTCCCACCGCCGGGGATCTCTCTCCCATCGTCGTCAAACACCCGCCCCGACCCGCGCATGTAATTCGGCCCGCCGAGATTCCGAATCTGCATCTCCCACGTCCACTTCTCCTTCATCAGCTTGTTGATCTCGTCATTCAGATCCCGGATCTGGTAGTCGCTGAGGCTGAGTTCCTGGATGCGAGACACCTTGCGCGAGATCTCTTTGAGCACTTGTCCGCGCCATTTCTCGCACATGGGGATCGAGTCCACGGAGGTGATGGCTTTGGGGCGGCGCGTGCGCCCAATGTCGATGATTCCGAGGTCCGCGGCTTGTTGGGCCCGGAAGCGGAAGAGCATCGATTGGGCTTTTTCACTGTTGCGTGCCTGTGCAGGGATTTTGTTAGCTTTGGGGTAGTGAGTTCTTGGGGGGCCGCGGGGGTGAGGGAGGGGAGGAGAAGGGTTTTTGAGGGGTGTGAGGTGAGGGTCGGGAATAGGTTTCGTTCATCATCTTGGGAGGGTTGAGGAACAAATCAAAAAGATTGAAGAGGTGGGCCGTTGGGGCGGCTTTTGTGCTTACCATTGTGAAGAGCGGCGCGGGGAATCCCCGTTGCTGATGGAGTAGGAGGGAGACGTCGAGAGGATGAGGTGAAGAATGAGAGGCGTTGCTTCTGCCGGCGTTGCTCTTCGGTCGTGATCCAAGCTTGGGTTGGGTGGTTCCACCGCCCGCCCGTTGCCCAAGCGAGCGTCAAGTTCTGCCGCGCGGCTAACCCGCCGCCGCCCCATGGCTCGCGACGGCCGTTGCAACCCTAATACATCATTGGTTGCTGGCATAGCGTGCTCAAAAGGGAGCTGATTTGCTATCAATATGTATGGTCAGCAATGAGGGTCCAAAAATACAGACTTTGATCTTGAGTTGTTCGATAGAATCTATACTTCGCATCAAATCAAGATTGACACAAGTCATACACACAGCATAGGTATATTTTATAATCTCAAGAACAATAATAGTAGATCCTCAAATACAAACAGCCGTCCATCTCATGTCATCAAAAGGCATCATGAACCATCAAAACACATCATATAGCATAGCATACACGACAAAATCACTAAGCAGAATCCAAGCGCCGTTGCCCATCTACACTCCATAGCCATGCAGGGCTGCCATTATCTCATAGTCGTAAGGTGTCGCTCAGGCCCTGGATGAATGTTTAGCGCCTGAATTCAGAGCGAGCGATATGCTCAGCAGGGTCAACCTGCGAGGTCGTCATGTTTCTTACAAGAAGCCTTTGGTGTTGCTGGGCATCCGCTGGGGTACCTCGCCTGAAGCGAACACGCTGCTCCCCCTCCTGCTTCCAGCGTCGCTGAAAGCACCGACGTGGCCTCGGCCGAGGACGCTGCCTCGTTCCACCCGGAGCGCTCTCCAGCCCTCCACCTCACGCTCCAGTCGGAGCGACTTCTCCCGCTCCTCCCGCAGTTCCCGCTCCGCCCGGCGCGCCTGCAATTGCGTCTCAGAGTCGCTGTGTTGGAGCTCTTCAATGTTCCGGAGAAGACGCTCGATCTTTTCTCGGCCCTTGGTGACGTCATCATTAAGTTGGGCATTCATCTTATCCCGCCGGTCAATCTGGGACTGGAGGTCTTTGACCGTACGGTCCACGTTGCGCAACGACCGCTGCTCGGAGCTGTGCTTGGTCTCCTGGTCCTCGAGATGGGTTTCGAGCTGATAATTCAAGTTTTAGCTTCTTTCTGTCACGACGTCGAGTATTTCTAGGGGAAACTTACCTCCTTGATACGCTTATGCAGGAATCGGACATCCTGACTGCCTGAGGAGTAGCTCTTTGTCTCCAGATCGACACACCGCAGTTGTGACTCCTTGAGCTGCTTCTCCAATGCGGCCTTGTCCTTGAACAGTTGAGCGTTTGTTTCCCTTTCGGCAGTGACTTCCTTTTGCATCTCCGTCGCCAGAGCTTCAGCGCGTCTCATCTTGCCCACCGCGGCTGCGGAGACATCTTCTTGCTGAGCGAGCTGAGACTTCAACTCTAACAGCTCACGATCCATGCTCGCAGCGTTGCGCATAGACGGGCTTTCTCCCTTGGCGAGATCCTCAAGCCTCTCGCCCGCTTCCGTTAGCCGTGCCTCAAGCATCTTCTTCTCCTTTAGTAGCATATCTCGTTCCGCAGTCACATCATCGACTGAGGTCCGAAGAGTTCTAACCTGGGACAGCAAGGTGACAACCCTGCTCTGGGCTTCGTTGTGGGCGTTGACCGTCTCATCGCGAGATGTGGTCACGTCTTGAAGCATGATGTCCATACGAGCCTTCTCCTTAGCCCAAGTAGAGCTGTTCAGGACTTCGTTGTCCCACTTGCTGCGCAGGTCTTCGAGTTCTTCACGCAAACGGGAGCTCTCCCCACGAACGTTCAAAACCTTCTCGCGCTCCATTTCCAGTTCGTTGTTGAGCGTCGAAAACTCGCGCTGGTACTTTTGTCTAGTCTGCTCCATCGATGTCTCCTTGTCTTCGATGTCAATGGCGCGCTGATTTCTATAATCTTCAAGTTCGTTCTGGAGACGCTGTTTGGCCTGGAGTGCGCCTTGCAGTTCAGCCGCTTGATCCTCCATTCTAGCTTCTAGAGACTGGGTCTGGCGTTGCAGATCTTCCACGAGAGCATCCATCTGCTTGCGTTCGGACATTATCTGTGCACAGGTGTCTTCAGCCTCCTTGGACTGGGACTTGGCAAACTGTTCCGCCCGAGTAGCCTTCAGGACGGCAATTTCGGCTTGTTCAAGCTTGCTGAAATACTCGTCGGCACGAGTCTTGTATAGACTCATACTGGAGGCCAGGTCAGCGGACTTCGATGTTTCTGCATCCAAGCGAATTTGCAGGTCGGAGAATTCCTGGAGGAGCTGGTTCCGGCTCACGGCGTCCTGATCCTTAGCAACCTGCAGCTCCTGGAATTCGGAGCGTGAATCACGGAGCTCCACCTCCAACGTGGCCTTCGCGCGTTTGATCTTTTCGAACTGGGCCTTGACATCGCCGAACTCTGCGATGGCTTCGTTGTGGACTTTAAGCAGAGAGCGCCGGGACTGTTCCTGAGAATTAATCAAGTCGTAGAGTTCTTCATGTGACTTGGCCTGAACATCACGCAGCGAAAGATCTCCAGACCTAATACTCTTTTCCAGCGCAGAGACCTTCTTTGACGAGTCATCGAGCTGATCATGCAGGCGTCCATTCTCGCGTTCCAGAAGCTGCATCCGTCGGAGCGAGGGGCTCTCATCCTGCCACATATCACGACCAGGGGTGGATTGGGCAATTTGGTTCTGGAGATGCTTGTTCTGCATCTCGCTCATCTGAAGCCGGTTCTGAAGCTCTTCAATCTCGGTCGCCATATCCATCCGCTTCTGGTAACCTACCGTATCCACGGTTTTATCAGACCGGGCAGAGTCATTGCCTGTTTCGTTGAAGTTCAGTCTCCGGTTCGGTGTTGTCGGAGTGCCAAACTTCTTCCCGATGGCGTTCTCAGAGTTCTTCCTTAGGTGAGTAGGAGTCCTGGTGTTCGAGACTTGGTTCTGGTCGATTTCCTCCAACAACGCGCGCTTGGATGAGGCGTAACGAGCATCCAATTCTTTCATCTCATCACCGTGTCGACGGCGCATTTCTGCTAACTGGGCCTCTGCCCGGCCATACTTTTCTTCGGTTACTTGCAGCTTGCTCTGTGTCGTCTCCAGCAACTGTGCCAGGTCAACTTTCTTCGCCAGATCAGGTTGTACCTTCTCCCAGCTTTCACAAGAATAATCAGACTCAGGCTCGACAATCTTGTGCAGCAGCATTAACTGGCGATGTAGATCGTCAATCTCCTTGTTGCCCGTGTCAAGCGAAGCTTGAAGCTTGCGCGTATTTGCTTGCGCTTGGGTCCTTAGTTGTCTCTCGGTTTCGAGATTTCTGTTAGCCTCTGCCAGTTGAATGTTGGCAGCGGACGCTGCCTTCTCCGCATTTCGACTAGCCTTGTGCTCCCGGTTGACTTCATGGTTCAAATCCTCCAGACTCAAAGACAGCTTCTCTTTCTGCTTTTCAAGAGACGTGATGTTGACTTGAAGATCCCCAAGTTGACGACTCAGTTTCTTGCTGTCATCTTCAAGCTTTGCCTTCTCCTTCTGAAGAGTGGTGATACGGAGGCGTTGGTTATCGCTAGCCCTTGAGGTCGACCTGGCTATGTCCAGATTCTTCTGTTGAATCTTTGTCAGGAGGGCACGGTTATCGTTCTCTGATGCTGTAAGTCTGCCCTTGAGCGTAACCAATTCTCTCTCAAGACGTTCCTTGTGCTGATCATGCCGGATGCGGAAATTGTCTGACTCGGCAATAGCGTGAGTCAACTCCTGTATCCTGGCCGAGAGGCGTGATCTTTCAGCTTCCACGTCTTCTAACTGACGAGCTTTGTCCTCGAAATCCTTCCGCACACTCTCGAGACGCTCGTTAGCTTGCTTCATAATGTTGCGCTCGATGTCGGCTTGTGCATTCAGCCGAGAATCTTCCACCTTCGAAAAGCGGTCCCGAAGCTGAATCAGCTCGCTCTGAAGATCTTTGCGTGAGCTCTCAGCAGCAACTCGGGCTTCAGTGGCGCGACGGAGTGTGTCCTGCTGAATGTACATCTCCTTTTCAATGATGATTTTAGATTCATTCAAAGCAGCGAACTTGTCCTTCAATTCTGCCAAGTTATGCTCCGCAAGCATTTGCACATCGTCTCTCGATTGGCGCTCCCGACTCAGATCCGCCTGTGCTTTGAACAGCTGTGCCTTCAATTCCTGAGCCTGCTGCTCCAGAAGCTTTCGACTTTCGCCCGCTTCGGCATCTTCAGACATCTTTGCCTCCAGGAGGTTCTTGACATCGGCGGCTTCTCGCTCGAGCTGAGCCTTCTCTGATTTCATGGCATCCGCCTCGGCTTGGACTTCTCGTAGACGATTCTGCATGTTATCGTGACGTGTGTTAAGAGAGACCTTTTCAGACTCCAGGTAACGCTTCTCCTCCTCACTTTTCTTCGCGTCGTTCCGCAGAATCGCCATTTCGCTTTCCTTTCGTCGAAGCATCTCTTCGTAGCCAGTTGACGTCGAGGAGAGGTCAGAAATCTGCTGCCTGATAGTCCGATTTTCTTCAATCAGATCTCTGATATGTTTGGTTGATAAATCCAAGTCACGAGAGGTCTTTGCAAGCTTGACCTCAAGATCTTGGTCGGTCTTCAATAGCTTGGCCTCCAGATCTTGCAGTTTGCGCTCCTTCAGGTTGAGATGACTTTGGAGCATCTTCATCTCCTGACCGACTTCTTTGATCTGGTTGTCCTTCTCCACAGTAGAACTTTCCGCATCGGCCAGCTGGCGTTCAAGCTGACCCAAACGGACTTGCATCTCCTGTTTCTCGTTCTCGAAACGTTGGATAATCTCTCCTGCCTGTTCGAGTTGGGTTATGCGAAGCTCCAGTTCGTCATCCGTTCTCTTCTTTGCCGCGATCAAATCGTCCAGCTGGTCCTCAAGGCTTTCTTGGTCCGCGATTGCTCCGGCCAGCTTCTCGCTTAGCTCGACCTCTCGGACCTGGAGTCTCTTGAAGATCTCTTCCTTGTCCAGAGCCAACGCGCGTTCACTCTCCAGAGTTTGTTGGATTTTGTGAATCTCGATCTCAGTACGGCGCCTCTCTTCTTCTAACTTTTGCCGATCTGCCGAGTCTTGGTTCATCTTGCTTTCGAGCAGTTTGATCTTCTCGTCTCGTCTCTTAACTTCGTTTGCCGTGCGAGTCTCTCCCAGTAGAGGCTTCATCCGAGAGAATAGTCTCCACCATGGGTTGGACTTCATTTGCAGGTAAGACGTAAAATTATGCTGAATGATGCGAGTCGCTTCAGCGCGATACAAGCGTTTGTTCGAGATTCGCCGCTGCACAAATCCTCGTGCAACGGACTGAAAGCGAGTCATAATGCTGCGAATAATCTGGTCACGTTTCTCTTCCAGCTCCGCCAGAACACCAGCCCTAAAGAATACCTTTGTACGACCGACTCGGTACCAAGCAGGGTCCAGTCCAAGCTTCTGCAACATGACATGAGCGGCGTTTCGACCGTCCAAATAGCCTTTGGGCATTGCAGGACAGAGAACCTCATAACGTTGACGGAATTCGGCAAATGAGAGCCGGTTAGGGAATCCGGTGCGCGCAATTCTTATTCCTTCCAGTACACCATTGCAGCGTAGCTGGTCCAAGACAAGTGGTGCATTGAGCATTTTGGGGCGCTTCTTATGGTTTGGTATGATACACCTAACGAAATGGGGGTGCGTTGAATGCAGCTGGTTCATAAGGCTGGAAAGCTGCTCCTTGTGCCTTTGCGCTACTGTGCGGAACAGGCCTTTCTTCACTCGGCTTTTAGGATAATCGCTGTCATCATCAGTGTCTCTGCAGTCAGAGAACAACTTGGCGACATGTTTCTCCTCTGATCTTGCAAGAAGGCGAGTAACATTATCGTTTAGAGGGTCCTTGTTCTTCTCGAGCCAGTCCTCCGTGCTATACTCCACGGCGGCAGCATAGTGGGTAAGAACGAATCCCTGGCTCAAGCGAGAAGCACGGTATTTCGGCGATTTTCGGTCCCAGAGCGAATGCAGCTTTTCCGTAAACGACTTGTCGGTGGCCTTTGGCATGACACAGTCCTCATCTAGACATGAGAATATACCGATGGGATTGGTCAATTCGATCAGGTCAATTGTGGGCTGCAAGTCCTTTCCGAAATCGATAAATTGCCATTCAATCTGCTCTCGTGCATATTCCTCCTGCTCCAAGACGAACATGTGATGATTAAAAAATTGCTGCAGCTTTTCGTTCGTATAGTTGATGCACAGCTGCTCAAAGCTGTTGTTCTTGAAGATTTCGAAACCAGCAATATCGAGAACACCAATAAAGAAGCTGTCATCGCTAGGTACTGTGCTTCGGTCTAGCTGGTCGTTGATGCGGTCGACAAGATTTCCGAACCCACGTTCATAAATACCCTTGGCTAGAGCGTCCAGTGCTAGCCGCACCTGTTCGGGAGTTTGCACTTTCTCCACCCACTCACGGCCTGCTTTGACCTTCGGATGCAACAGACCCTTTACGAATAGCTCAGGGGCTATACCCAGCAAGTGACAAGCTCTCTCAACGCTGTTTAGCGAGTCACGACCGAGGGCAGCTTGATCGGCCCGCAAGCTTTCCTTGACGATTGTGACATTTCCCAGGTGGAGGACGGCGGCAATAGTGCGGAGAATACACATCTGGTCTTCCTCGGAGAAGTTCATAACATGGAACGCTTCAATCAACATCTTCCACTCGTCCTGGTCAGATACTCCGGCGATGTTGGCATTTCCATCTCTGGTGTACGCGAAGTCCTCAATTTGCAAGTCTGACAAAAGGAGATCCTCCCGGAGCTTCCGGTCTGCGCCCCTTAGCAACTGGTAGAAGACATGATAGTTTCGCTCGTGAGCATTAGGCTTCACAACCCGGGACTTTTCCAATAGATACCAGTTGATTGAAGCTCCCGATATCTGCCCGGCTCGGGTAAATTCGATCCGTATGAACTTTCCAAACCGAGACGAATTGTTGTTCCTGACTGTCTGGGCGTTTCCGAATGCCTCCAGAATGGGATTAGCCCTGAGGATTTGTTGTGAAAGGGTAGACAAGTGCTTGGTACCGGACCGAGCATATGGAGTGTCGGTGGTAGCGACGGCAGCCAGGTACTGGATAACTTTCTTGGTGTTTTCTGTTTTACCGGCGCCTGACTCCCCGCTTTATTCTCAAGTTAGCCGGCGCGACAAGTCACATAACTATCCTAGTACTGTACTTACGTCACTAGAATACTCTGATTCTCCCCTTCCTCTACCAAGTTCCGAAACGCCTCGTCTGCCATCGCAAAAATATGGGGCCGGTTTTCGTCCCGGTTTCGACTCTTATACATCTTCACATACTCGTTGGAGTAGATGGGCAACGGGCAATAGGGATTTATTGTAACAAGGAACAGTCCCGAGTAGGTCTATGTCCTGACGCGTTAGTCTGGCATAACAGTAAGTGGGTTCTGAGACGATGCACTGACGTAGATAAGATCTGACTGGTATCGGGTATGTAGGTTGTGTACCACGGAGGCTTCATTCAGGTGGGTGAGCTCTGCCATATCATCGGCTTTATCGAACTTGGCGGGGTTGACCTTGTCAACCTGGTCGGCCTCTACCTCCCTTTGCTGTTATCCAGTAAGCGATCCCACCCCAATCACACATAGACTAAGCAGTTATACCTCTCCATCATCGGTCTGGACTACCAATCGGCCCCCTTCCCCTTCTTCCAGCACAAGGCCTCGCACGAACGCCTTTTCCGGGTCGCGTAGCCAGACATATTTGTTGCCCGAAAAATCATTGTCGCCTTCTTGGCCCCGAATCTGATCCGCCCCTCGGCGGAGTTCTTCCGATTTAATAAAGTCTGGCGCAAAGGTTCCTGACGCCACATCGTTCCGTAATGGACCGGACCGCTCACGATTCGTTGTCCGGACTACCAGCGGGGACGGGGAGTGCGATATAGAGGACGAGTTGCGAAAGTGGCCGCGGGCCTCTTCGAATTTCCCGGGGGGCGTCAACACGGCCGACTTGGGACGCGCAGCTCTTGTCTGTAGACCGGGGGAGGGCGACGGCGACGGCGATCCGCGATTGAAGGGATTGGCCCGTTTAGGGGAGCCATTTAACTGTGAGGGTAGCATATCTTCGTTAAAACCAATGGGGCATCATTCAATGACAAGTCGTAATCATAACAGTTCAGTATTAACGTAATGGACGCCCGAACAAGGAGCTGTCAGAGTGAGTCGGCACGAAGCATCCAGGCCAAGGGAGAGGGCCGGGGGAGAGAGAAGAGCCAGTCAAGTGAAGGGTGAAAGAAGATGGGGAGGTGGGAAGTGGAAGGTGGGAGTTGGAGGGTGGAGAGAAGTTGGGCTGAGGCACGTTCAGCGAGGCTGCAGCAGCATGCCTAAGTAGTGGTGAAGTAGTACGTAGGTTGCTGGTTGACAGTCCGGCCGGCCGTCGTCACCCACACTGACCACCGGCTGGCTCCTGGGGTCTCCCCGATCCGCTGTTTGTTTACATCCGCCGTTCCTCAGGCTGCGGCCGCCGATCATGCGCTAGCCCCGATCTGGAAGCCACCGTCACGTGGCAGACCCGCGGCACGAAACTCACTCGATCTTTTCCGGGTTGGTTCGGTTTCGTCGCTCGCTCCTCCTCACGTTCTAGTCACCATCGATCGATCGCGTCTTCTCTGGTTCTGGTCGCATCTATTTCTCTCCCTTTCCCTTTTCACTGCTCGTCCTTCCCCCCCCCTTCCCCCCCCCTTCCTCTCCTCTGCGAAGAGAGGAACGGAGTCTTGGAGTCCTTGTGCAGACTACCTCATGTATAGCCGAGTGTGGTTTCGATTCGATCCGGACTCAACCTTCTGCTCCTTTCTGCTTCCATGACTTTGATTCGATTTTTGCCGCCTCGGTCTTGAACGATGTGGGATGCCTGAACACACGCGTTAGACGCGACGAGGTAGATTTTTGCTTACGGGACGCAGACACTACTCATCTTTTCCAAGTGCGCACGCGGTCGCCGCTCATCTCAACCATGTCTAATTATCCCCCGACGCCGTCCTTTGTGGGACCGAATTATAATCCCCAGTGGCCCCCTTCCAACCCATCTCAGTCCACTGCTGTACCTTCCTTAATGCCACCTCATTTCCCCTTCAACCAGAATCCGTCTCCTATTCCCCACCCTCCCCAAGACGGTGCGAATCGCTCGTTTGACTATACCTTCGAAGCCTATAATGCAAATTCTCAACTTCCGGGATTAGGGGGTCCGGGCGCAGCTGGACCTATACCGCCACCGCCATTCCCCTTCATGGCTCCTTTCGCCGCGGCGCAGTTTCCCCCTCCTTTCCCCCTCCAGATGCCACCGCTAAGATACCCGTCGATCCCAATACCTTCCTCCGCTCCAGTCTTCGAGCCCTCCCCTCATCCCATGACCGACTTCCAGCCCCAGCGCGACCACTCTGACCCGACCCGCGCAAGACCTCAGCTGCCAGTCGCTCCTGCCTCGGATCCCGATCCTGACCGGGAAGAGGGTGAACTCACCGACCTAGATGTCCCTCTACCGACACGTTCAAAACAAAGTGATCCGAGATCAGCGCGGCAATCAGTGCACGCTCTTCATCCTCCCAAGCGCCTGCCACAGAACCGAGACGGCGGTTCCTCCGGAGTTGGCTCAACGATGAAAATAAGTTCAGATGCAGGTCATGGCTCAAACGGCTCTGCCGTGTCAGAAGGCTCGGGGCGAGATGGTTCGGATGTCGAGAAGGGCGAGGCTTCGTCAGAAGCTCACCTGTCCTCGAGAAGCAGCGGATCCCGTAATTTACCCTTTGCTATCACATACTATCCGTCTGGCTGATGTTTTGCAGCGTATAACCCTGCGCTTCCTATTCTTGGTGCACCGCCTATGCCGATCGAGACAACCACTTCCGAAGCTCCAGCTTCATTAAGACCGCAACATGAAACTGTTTCTGAGAAGGAAGCTAACAACGCCATGTCAAGTGACTCGCAATCGCTTGTTAACGGTGGAAGGTCACCGGCGCAGCTTCGCGTTCAAGCACAAGGAGCACTCTTGAGCTTAGCGCCTCACAATATTCGATATGGAGAGCTTGTTGGAGAAGGTATCAACCCGGATGTACTTCGACAGCTTTATGAAGAAGTGGGGATCAAGATTGCCACTCCGCGACCTGACGCTGCGTTGGATTCCGTCCCTGAAGACACTCTGTCTGCCTCCGAGCGTCCAGCGATTGATCACCCTTCAGACCTCGAGCACGGGCGAGAATCAACTGATGTCTTGGGTACAGAGATAACCTTAGCGCAGCATCCTTCCCCTGTTACTGCTGCCGCAGTAGCTACACCTTCTCCACCATCAGGCACAAAGCCTATGGAACGAAAAGAGGTGATCGCACGTATGCTTGCTGCAAAGGCTGCAAAGAGGTCCGGGGAGCCCGTCCCACCACAACCAGAATCGACGAAGGAAACTCACTTGCCTGTCAATCTGGAACAGCCAGATGCCGACAAGGCGGCGACAGCTTCTTCCACACAACAGCTAGCAAAAGAGAAGGATGTCCGGGTAAAAGAAAAGAACAAGGCACAGACTGAGTTGGCTAGACAGCGCATCGAACAGCTCAAGAAGCAAGGTCTGATGAGGAATGGGCTGAAACCGCAGGCCGAGTCCATGCCCTCGGACCAAAGTCAAGCATCCAGTAACTCCGGTCAGGATATGCTTCCAGCCCCCACTCCGGCGCCAATCCAACACCCATTGCCTGAACGCCCCCCCGATCCGGAGTCCAATGCTCATGCTCGCATACCTGGCCTCTTCATGACGGACCAAGAACCCAGTGCTGTATATACAGCTACCCCAGCGACCGAAGCATCTGCCGATGCGACACCACAGCCTCGCATTAACCAACGCAAACGGCCCCGGGCGTCTGATTTTGATGAGCCTGTGCCTATTCCCAAGAAGACCTTCAACAACACCGTGAACCATGTTGTTCCGGAGGCGCAGAGACTAGTCATCGATATCAGCGATGACGAGTTCTACGGCGATGACGAAAACGATAGCATGGACATTGACACTCCTGCAGGGAAGGATCTGCAAGATGCGGAAAGCTTCCTGGGAGCGTTTCCACCGGCCGACCTTTTAACTCGTCCAAAAACGGCATCGAGTCAAGGGTTTTCTACTACCTCGGTTACACCACAGGGCTCAAGGAATAACGATCAGGAACACCAGGAGCATCTTCGGAAAAAGGACTTGGAAATCAAAGCTATGCACAGGCGCATAGCCGAGCTTGAAGAACGCAAGAAGGCAAAGCTAGCAGCGAGCCGTGCTCAGTCTCCTCGTGCCACTGATTCGCGGGGACCCTCGCTTCTTACGAACCCTGTCACTGCCGATGATGTCAGCGATGTATCAAGAGCATCCCTAGATGCTGAACTGGGAGGAATGTCTACTCCAGCCCTGGATATCAGGCTGTCTACTTCCGCTGATATTACCCATATCGAGAGGATGAAGCTCAAGTTGTTACGCAGGCAAGAGATTGAGGCTGGCCTTCCTGCATTGGAGGCGGAGATACAAAGGTCTGAAGCAAAACTTGCCGAAGTCAATGACGAAGAAGACAAACTGTCGTTGGAGATCACGAAAGGAAAAGAGGGCCGGAGGCAGCTTCTGGACGAACTGAGAACTCTCAATCTAGAACTGAATGGGTTGACTTTTGAAGACGTTGATACAGCACTGCTTCGCTTGCAGACCAGGGAACAACTCAACACGCAGGAAGGTACTGTTTCTGACTCACCTTGCACCGTCTTTAGCCTCCTACTTCAGTACATATGGCTTACTTTTTTTACTGTCTTTTAGGCCAAGTGGACCGACAAATTACAGACGAGAATGAGATGCTACCTGAAACGTTCAAGTCCAGAACGCCTCTAGAGGAATCAGGTGTCGTTCAAGAATCATCTCTACCTCAAGCACCTCAAGCACCTCAATCCAGTTCTGCCAGAGGGTTGAGCACCATATCCGTTGACAAAATGATGGATCACATCAGCGACTCTCCTCACGATCCGTCTACTGATTCTGACTCTACTGGTTCTGCAATGGACGAGTCTAGCGACAGTTCCAGCGATGACTCTGATGATCAACATGGCATGCAAGCCCGGACACCCGTTCCGGAGACGGGCGAAGTATGGAGCCCCAAGGCACCTACTGAGGATGAGCAGCCGCATGTCGATGAGTTGGGTGCAGCCAATATCCACCATCCCATCCCCGAAGACTCGCAATCTGCGAGCTGTGAGCCCCAGGTTGGCATGATCTTTGACGAACAGGCGACTCGAAGTTTGGAACGATCATCCCGAGAATCATCAGTATCAGATGCATATGAGCCTCCAGAGCCGGAAGTCACTGCCAGCCCAGCAGATTCAACTTACTCTCCCCCCTTCAGCCCTGCCTCTCCTGGTCCCATCGAACCCACCGAGGTGTCAAGCCTTTCGGTCGACGAGACGAAGCAGGCCGAACAGCCACTAACAGGAGTCGTCCAGGAATTGGAAATTGAGCAGCCAATTGCTTCTACACAGGTTGGCGTTCTGGATGTGCGATGCACCGCGAATCGACCACGGGCTGGATGCTAACAGACTTCTAGCATGTGCGCCAACCAGCGGAATCCAAGCATAGATTTTCACCCTACAGTAGTCCACTGAAGTATTTCAAGGCTTATCGCTACCACCCGAACTTCACTGATAATGTTTCGGACGGCTATCGTTCTCTAACTTATAGCCATAACATCGACCCAATGAAATGTCTTTGTCCGTTCGAAGCTGCCGGTGGAGTTTGCAACGATCGGTCCTGCGAATTCCAGCATTTTCGTGACATGACTCTCAGCGGTGCGTCGACAGATCTTAACCATCACATGCAACATTACCCACTCGCAATCTAGGCACTGGTTTTTAGTGACCTTCATCTACCTTGCTGTCCCCTTTCCCGCCCCTTTGTGCCGCGCTTTTGACGCCTTTATTTTATTTGCCCCCGAGACTTGCACTGTGCGGATGCTGACACCCAGGCCCGTTAACCGCGACAGATGACAAGATTCTTGTCCAGATGGGATCGCTCCGAGAGGGCAAAACACCCGAGGAGAAGGACGAATACATTGCAGGATTGAAGCAGATTATCAACGACATGCGGCGCGACAAGGTGAAAGACTTCGGCACCGTGGCCACGGAAATAGCCGCATACCGTAGACGATTTCTCCAAGACCCATCACGGGTTCTGCCGTTGTAACCATCCGAAGGTCAAGCTACACACTCGCTACTCTCTTCGGAGAGCTCCTCTACTTTTACAAGGTGAGCTGCCGACACAGTCGTGTGACGATAGCCAGGGCCATCTGGCGAAGCACTTTCGTACAGACGAGCAAGTCAACTAGGAGTCGCTTCCACTGAGCCCCAGCAAAGGCAGTGACTGCGCCCGTCCATCATACCTCACCAGCTCTGTTTCTGAGCCGGGAGGTTCCTTTCCCCTCACCCTTCTTTTTCCAGTTCTTAGCCAGCCCCGCGTCTTCCTTTCTGACCTCTAAGATCTGGTATCTCTTTGTGGGGGACACCAGTGGGCATCTCCACCTTACCTTGTTTATCGATTGCTACTTGGCGTACAAAAGCGAGCCTGGAGTTGGGGGGACAATTCTGCTCTGCCTTTAGGAAATGGGAGTAAGCTCATCACCACACCACGACACCCATGCCGGCCAGAACAAGCGAGACCAGAGGACGCGCCAGCACTCCTAGTCGATCTGGTCCGGTAGTCACGGTATGGTGAAAACCAGAAACATTGACACCAGCGGAGTACTCCCCTTGGACAGGATGGGAATGTACAGCAGGGCGTTTGGGCATAAGGAGTACATAGCGATAGCGAAATATTGATTCCGATTCTTTATCTCAGCGACTGAAAAAAAAATCCCGTTTCGTTAGTAGTAGTCTCAAAAATGCCTCACGTGTCAGGCAAAAATGGCTCGCATCCCCACTTCACAGCATGGAGTACACGCTACACATATTATCTACAGCCCCATATCTATCTAGTCCCGAGTCCCGAGTCTCGACACCTGGCGCCGCACACTAGATAGCTTCCAGCCTTAGTCCCTCCCACAATTCAATAGTTTCTTCCCTGCGCCTACGAGACAATTTGCTGGGCGTCTAGCGCCTATATCTAATCTAAACCGGGGGGGTGGGAGGGGGGCGTGGCAGTGACACAGCCGCAGCGCAGTGCGGCGCGCGGAACTTTTTCCGTCCGCCCACAACTTCGAAGAACGATGAATGAAATCATCTCATCTCATCTCACCTCCTTAATCTTTCCCTGATCCCAATGCAGTAAATCACTCAACCCACTCCACCTCCACTATGATAACGCGCAAGATCAAGAAATGTCAATGAGGCAGTGTTTGTTCGCTTGGTTAGTTAGTAATGACTACGGTTTCTTACTAGTTAGTTTGGATGTGGTTGGTATATGCGACCGACTGACAGCCTGAGTCAAAAGGTCGTTAGATCGGGGTTAGGGTGCATGAATGCATGCATGAAACTGTGAGTGCTGTGCTGTGCTGCACGAGTTGAACTGAGTCAGATGTGTCAGCCTGAGGTGAGGTCAGTGGTTGGTGGTCACGGGGTTAGTGGTTACTCGTGGAGGTGGAGGATGAGTACTAGTCAGGTATACAGCACAGCATGCAGTGCAGCATTCCGGTGCCAGCCGATCGACCCGGGGCGGGGAGGGGAGGCATTTGATGATGTGTATGAACTACTTTCCTGCGGAGGAGATGAAGCTAAGGAGGGAGGGATTTAGCAGGGAGGTATAGTATCTACTCCGTACGGAGTATAGTAAGTAAGGGGAGTGTCCCTCCCGAGGGGGCTGTACCTAACTATTGTATTGGTTGTGTTGCCCGGGCGCCCGCCCGCCCCGCCCGGAAACGAACATGGCAGTTAGTTCTATGATGTATGTATGAATGTATGTGCGGAGTACCTTTACCTTTGCCCACTATCTATCTTTAGGGGTGTGGTGGTTGGATTGAGAAGGTACTACGACTTACGGACGGATGGGCTATTGATAGTATATACTTACCTAGTGGGGTGCGGATGTGATGTGATGTGATGTTGTATGGTACTATGTACTTGGGTGCACGCAGCATGCAGTATGTAGGTACTGTGGGATAATAATTTTTCTGGGGGTGAGGTTGAAGGAAGCAGATTCATTCGAAGTTGTAGTATGTATGTGTCATGTCTGTAGGTGTAAGGGGGGTAAGGCGGTGGTTGTGGTTGTGGTTGGGTACTAGTATACATAGTACAATCGGTAGATTGGGGGTTACGGAGTACTACCAAGCCAGGTACGACATATATACATCAACATATTCAGGACCGCCGTTGTGGGTGAGTGGGTGGATACTCGGGAGGGAATTTTCTAGTATTCTAGATAGTAGGTCGTAGGTACGGAGTAGTAGATAGGTTGTATGTATAGATCTCTGCTGTGCTGCGATGTATATTTCGATGATGGGCGTCTGCAAAGACGGAATATCGTACATACGTACATCGTACATCGTACATACGTACATCGTACATCGTACATATTAATTAACATGGACTTCCGTACCTGCCGGGCGGCTATCCGGGCTGACAGGATGCGAGGCGCATGGAATATGTGTGTGTGTGTGTGTGTGTGTGTGTGCAGATGAAGCATGGAATCGATTCCAGAGGGTGCGAGTTTCTAACGGTGTTGGTGAAGTGGTAGTTAGTAGATAGTCTGGAATAATCTATCTAAATTGACACTAGATAGATAGATAGATAGATAGTGGTGAGCTAGCTGACTCGTAAGTATGTGTAGTACTCCATTTTCAACTCTTCACCCTCGGGGAGGGGGAGGAGTGGGGAAGCGCCGGCCCCCAAACCACTACGTAACTGGAGTCTGGTGGGGAGGATCCGCTGGTGTAAGGCTAAGCCATGGAAACTATCAGTATCAGACCCATCTTCTACCTTACCCGACGGCCCAGTATCTATTTAGACAAGTCCGTGTCGCTGACCAAACCCAAGGAATCAATATTGGGATGCGAAGCCGGATATCATGATGCCATGGGTGGATGGGTACTAATCTAGTATCTAGTGCTTATTGCTGACGGGAGAGCGCCTTGTTGCAAGCCATGGAACGTGGTCGTCAGGGTATTGGTTGCTTGGCGGCCAGTAGGGTTGGCTTGGCCGGGCGGTAAGGATGGATATATATAACTTATGTACGGATTACTTACCGACGGGGATCACGCACATGGGGAACTGGGAAGAAGGGATGAGGGATGGAATAATCAGCCCGGGGATTGGGCGGGAATGAACCAGGGGGAGGCAGGGAGGGGTGGGGTGGTACAAAGGTGTCGAAATTAGGAGAACGGTCAGTCCAGCGTGGTAAGGCACTCCGGGGTAAATATAGAACTCGAGGGGAGAGGGGGGGGAAAGGCAGAAAGAGAGCCAGCCTGCGGGGATCTCCTACCGCATTGGGCATTGTGAGGTTGTACAGAGCGGCAGAGTACAGGAAGATGGAAATGGAACAAAGAAACAACTGAGACAACTTTAAAAATAAACCTCGAGAAAAAAAAAAAAAAGAAAGCAAAAGCAAAATCAGCAAATGCAATGCCTGCTTGCATTCACGTCACTTGCGGATGAGGAGATGACAAATGGGCGGAAGGAAGAGGAACGTTAAGCGTAATCACTCACTATCAAGATCATGCCATGTGGCTGCTGGGAAGGGAGGGGCTGGTCTGGGAGAGCGACTTAATAATATCGCATACTTACTTCTGTCGAGTAAGTATCCACCACCCATGTGTGTAGCCCCAGTTTCACGGCTGCCAGGGAGCTGAACGGCGGGGGTGTCACTCCCGAGCCGGCCAATCATCGGCCGCTGCGAGCATCAGTCCAGGAGACAGTTAGTACACAACGGTCGCTAGTAGAGGGGCTATCCACGCAGGTTGAATCCTCACGAGAATCGCATCCAGCTGAAAAAGACTAACTCACTAAACTGACTGACTGACTGGACTGACATTCCTTCCTTCCGGGCCTGTCTCTGTCTGCCCCTGCCATAGTTGCAGTGCAACCGTGACCCGACCGCGCAACCAGACCCTATACGGACCGCCCAATCACGCCCTCATGCACCGCCCTTCCCAGACACCCAGACAGGACCCAGTCTGTCCCTGAGGCCCGTATTCGAGGTGAATCACCGCGGGTCAGCCATGCGAGCTGAACGGGCCGGGTCGGGTTTCAGGTTTCAGATTACTTATCGATATCTCGGATTCCATGAACCCCAGAACCCAGAAAGGGCTGGCTGGCAGGCAGGCTGGCTAGCTCTCTGGGCGGTCGACCGCCAGTTCCACCCCGTACATAGGGTTAATGCATAGCGATACCGAGAGAAAGGGCGGTGGATTCGCAACCCCGGTCGCCAGGCGTGGCTGCATGATCTGCATGACACTCGACTGACACGGCCGAATGATCCCCCGCCCGCGCGCTGTACGCCTGGCCATTCAGCGCCCGCAAACCAACTACCAAGATTTTGCGGCTCGGAGGGAAATGGGCCAGCCTTGGGCTATTTGTTATTTGAGGGGGTCACTGACAGACACTACTGACATTGACAGGTGGGCGGTGGGCGCAATACCGGAGGGAGGAGGTTCGCCAGGTGACGCTCGCTCTGGGCGTCCCTCCGATCCGCGACACGTGCGGGCGGCCGCCCCTGGTGGTATCTAGTAGATACTAGATAGATAGGGTTGTACTCCGTAGCACTATTCAGGTATTCCCTCCCCCCCTCCCCCTGATTATACTACCGCTCCTATTACATCGTGAGGATCCCGAGTCGAGTAAGTACGAGATTAATCATTCGATGTCCTGATTATCACGTCATGAAGGATCCGTCGCGGTAGGGATTTGATTCCTTTTGCAACGTGCTGATTACGACGGACGGCTACGGGGGCGCGGGGATCGTCATCAACTGAGAAAAGAGGCATCTGTGCTGGTACATTATTGATCCAACCGAAATCTAGTCTAAACAGGAGTCGCACACAGATCTAAAGGACAAAAAAAAAGAAAAAAAAAACCATATAGAATGACAAGGGAGATGACAACACGGAAAAGCAAGCGAAATGTCCCCCACGGCCCACCGTCCGTAACTCCAAGGCATTCTCCGTGGCTGCACGACCGAGCCAGTCCAGCTCGCGCGGACGTGCAGCCGCCCCAACTCTAAGCCGTATATTTAGTACAGTTCTCGAAGCGACGCCCAATATGGCAAGCAGAAAGTCAAAAACAACAAAAATAAATAAAGTAATATCAAATAAAACGTTCCTGGTATATGCAATCGCTCATGCAATATCATCAAACAGAAGATGAAACAAAAAGGGAAATTCAAAAAAGAGCCGAGATGGGAAAAAATCAAAAACCCTGACTCCAGGTCATGTCTGTTTCATGTTTCATGTAGGTCATAACGGAAAACGCTCAGTATACCCGCAAGTCAAAGCTCGGGGGCGTTCTATATTAAACACTGCGTAGTGCACAGCCTTGATGTCTGTACGAGAATGTGTTAGCCATCGTCATCGAGTCCGGATAGGTCTCCAGGCTCCGTACCTTGATACTCTCAGGCTTGTAACTCATTTTGCGGGCTTGCAGTAAGGGCAAACAACATGCGTACACATCACGCATTTTGGTTGATTCTGGTATAGCTTTGGTCCATCGCCGCATTTGCAGCAGAAGTACAGGCCGGAATGGCTGGTGATACCGCGGGAACCCTGGTTTTCCATTTCCGGCAGAACAAGACCGTGCCGGACATGGGCGTGATATAATGATGGCCGTTGGGGGGACGATAGACATCCAATGGCCGAAGACATGTTTGCGACAGTGTGGAGTGAGGGCTCAGAGGCCCGAGGAGCTGGGGCTGAAGGGTAGGGCGACATCTCGTGGCAGTTGTGTAATGAATTCACCGCGTCATGTGCATCGACGGGGCAGTCCTGGCAACGCTCCTCCCCGCACTGGGTGCAGGCTCGTTGCAGGTCCATTTGATGAGGCCCGTGAGAGCATTCGCAGCAATACCACAAGCCAGACATGGTAGAGGGTGATGGTGGATGGACTGGTGGATGGATAGATAGATAGATGAGAAGCCAGACCTGTGCTTGGTAGGGTCGCTGGCTGGAGGCAGTGATGGATGGAAGCTGAAGCTGAAGCCGAAGCAGTTGCAGATGGATGGATGATGTGAAGTGGACTGAGTGAATGAATCCATCCTGAGGACCGGGTCTGGTCGATATTTAAGCATCGAAGAGGATGAGAATGCAGCACTAGCGATGATTCAGAGCCAGGCCACAAGGCGCCCTCGCTCTAGATTGTGGCTGATCTCACAGCAGCGCCCTTAGGCAGGCAGGTCTTCATCTCAGTCATCAAGCCAGGGCCATACCTGATCAACGCCGGGGCCATTAGGGTCGATCAACCAACGTGGCTTGGCGACCCCATTGCTTTTTGGGATCCCGAACCGTTTGTACGGGGTGTGCCTGGGCAATCAGCAGCGACGGCGCTACATTCGAATCATGGTGGGGGGTCTTACACAACCCCATCGTAAGATATGCTGGCGGGTTGACTCAAAGCACGGCCAGGGTCCACCAGGGTAGGGGGAAGTGGGCAAGTGGGCAAGTGGGCAAGTGGGCAAGAGGTACCTGGGCAAGTACCTTTCGCGAAAGGCGGAATCCGGCGAGGCTTGGAGGCTCGTTTTTTGCCCCGGAGAGCCCGCCCGGAGACTCCGCCCATGTCGCGTATTGGCTGCTGGCGCTCGCCAGTCGCCAGAGAATTAATTCGGGGTCTCTGATTAATTGCCAGTATCTGCTTATGTCCCCCCTTCATACCTCTTGGCCTCGAGTTCGTTCGTTCGAGTCTATTCCGACGGGCGATGACTCGGCGGGCCTGGCAGGCCTCTGCTGCTGCGCCTGTGCTGCCTGGTTGTGGCCTTGGGAGGGCTCCACTTGGAAGGTCACCAGCGCCGTCGGTTCAGGCAACGTCGTGACTGTGCCTCAAACTTCTCAGGGTTCTAGATCTGACTCTGACTCTGACTCCGACTTCTTGACCGTTCGTTTCCCCTAGTTGACGGCCCGTCGATAAGCCTGTTCGGCGTGGTTCTGTCGGTCTGGCGTTCGCGAGTCGCGACGCCCGCTGCGACGACTGACTGCTGCTCCCCGTAAGCAGGCACCCATGCTAGTTCTGCCTAAGCCATCAACGCCCGTCCGTCTGTCATCATCACCCTGGCACATGCCCATGCCCTTCCATCCAAATGACGTCTTGCCGGCTACACCACGAGTTCATAGTAACACTCGCGATGACTGACTGACCTCGTTCATCATCTCTGACACTTTCTTCGCGCCTTCCACTCTATCGCTCCTTGCTACTGCCCACTGCCCACTGCCCACTGTCCGCTTTCCTCGCATTCTTCGCTCCTTCTCCTTCGCATCCTTCCTTCCCGCTACGTCGCTAGCCGATCCCTATTCTTGGCTCGTCCGATCTGCCGCGTGAGGCTCGGGTCATGTGCGCCCAGGCGGCCGACGCACCTTCTCCATCACGACGGATGTCCGTCCGTACTAGCGACCGGCACTAATTTGGTGTTGCTGGTTGGCAGCTGAACCTCGAGACACCGGGCGGCCTTATCGCAAGCTGAGCTTGACTCCGTGCTCCTTACTTCGGTGTCTTCCTGTGCAATGGCACAGCTACAATGCAGCACTTCCAGGGAAGTGGGCATCGCCAGTTCCAGCTCCATCATCGCGTGGTCGAGGCCCATAAACAGGACATACTCCCTGCGAGTCCGAAGTCCTCTCCCAGGTCCTCCATGCGCTCCAGACACACAGTCGACCATGCTTTCACCAGCCATGGTGGCACCAGTCCCGCGTCGTCGAGCATGAAGCCATTCTGGTGATGTTTACAAAGACTGGCAACCTAGAGAAGCCAGAAACATTCCACAGGCAGCAAAATTGGTGCCTTTTCCCCCCTCATTCCCTCATTCCTTCCATCTTTATTCCCGTCTTCTTCTTTAGATATGACTGATGTGATGTCTCACCCAGAGGTACTATGACTCGAACTGTCTCATGTTGTGCCTAGGTTGACGCCTGCGATCGATGATTTTGCCGATACCCGGACCATCCAAGGCCATCGCTAGGCACTGACACCAGCAAGATTAAGTTTAGAGCTCTAGATGGACGCGTAGCCGACCGTCCGCCGCGCTTGTATCCATGAGAACTGCTTAGACCCGAAGCCAGGTTGCTAAATAGAAAGGCGTTGCTGGATAGGATAGCCATACTCTATACAAAGTACCTCGACTCCGCATGGGGAAAAGTAAACATGGATGGCCGCTATCATCACGTGATCCAACACATGACATCATGACTTGTGTTTGCCTGGTTTGCACCACGTGCCTGTCACGTTCCTGGAAGCCTAACGCTGCAATCGCAGCCTCTTTCTTCCTCATTCCTGCTCTCCGTCGTCAACCCCTATGCCTCCCAGGGCCGGTGCCCCATTATCATTTTCTCCTCTGCTTGCTGTACATAATTTTTCATCGTGTTAATATGGATGTACATGCGGGTTGAATCCTCCGAGACTGGCCAGCTTACTGTTCTCCGATGCGGAGGAGGCGTTTGTAAGCCTTCCACGTTCGACTTCAAATGGCGCGCCCCGACAGACGCATCAATCTCGCAGTCGCCCGGGCCATCCCGCCAATATTACTGTGTATAGTTGTCTATGCATGCTATGTCGTTACTAGGCCATTATGCAGTAAGTTTGTCCGATATTTCGGTTTGCTGCGTCGCTAAACGTCCCGAAACAGTCGACTATCTGATCCGCCCTCTTCCCAAATACCACCGCGGCAGTCGCGTGGGCGCTGGTGCAGCCATCCTTGTCGTGTTCTACCTTCTCATTACAATCGTTATCACCACCTATCTCCGCTTGTTGTATAATGTCTCCCGCGACCCCGGCCTCCTCCCGCGAGCTTCTCCGCCGACGAAGGAAGAAACAGCGACGGAACCTTCGGATCGCCGTCATCGGAGGAACGGATGCCGTCCGACACCGCAACAGACCGAAAAATCAACGTCATCGGACGAAGACGTCGAAGGGGGCCTTGGACACAACGCCGAGGGAGGCGCATTCCCATTGGATACATCTGGATTGGAAAAGTTCTATACCAAGGACGTGTTTGTTTGTCAGGATGATGGACGACCGTTGTATTGCTCCACATGCTGTAACTACAAGCCAGATAGAGCACATCACTGCCGGGAGGTTGATCGATGCGTGCGGAAGATGGACCACTTTTGCCCTTGGTGAGTATTATCACCTGCGGTGGAGGATTTTACTAACAGCCGTAAAGGGTAGGAGGTGTCGTCTCGGAGACATCTTTCAAGTTCTTCATTCAATTCGTATTCTACATCCTAATTTTTTGCGCTTTTAGCCTGATCATCTGCGCGACCTTCACTGCCGAAATTAAACGAGAGGTGAGCCTGGGACCTCGGACACCATTTTTGGCCAAGTATTGACTTCTGCAGACTGGTGGAGCCAACGTTCACCTGGCCATTGGTATTGGACTGTGAGTTCTCGATTTTAGCGGCAGACATTCGAATTGTCCTTCTGACCGTCAGCAGGAGCTCTCTATTCGGCCTTTTCGGCCTTGGCATGACACTAAGTTCCGTTCAACTTGCCATGCTGAACCTAACCACGATTGAAAACCTCAATCGTCGATCCGCAGTGTGGACCTTGGCCATCCGCGTGCCTAGCCACATGCTCTCCCGACTCAACCCTGAGTCGCGGTGGGCTCCGACGTTCCGCACCATCACCTACCCCCTACCCCCCGCACCTCTTAACCCGGAGGCCGCAGGCGAATACCAACCGCCTGGAGAGCAACACGTCTTCGCCATTCTCCAGACTCTACCGGGTGAGAACCCCTTCGACCTCGGCAGTTCTTTCCGGAACCTCCAGCAGGTCCTGGGATATTCCGTCCTCGACTGGTTCCTCCCTCTCAAGCAAAGTCCGTGCGCGGAGCGTAAAAACACAGAAAGCTTCTTCGAACTCGGACCGGTGGTATCGCGACTGAAGAAGGAGGCTGGGCTAAACCCAGCCTAACAACAGTACACACGGGGAGCATAAACAGAGGAAGACGGAGCACACATAGACGATCGCAGGAGTAATGCATGCATGTTGGTTGATCCATAGACGCATTGCACATGCCGAGACGTATCATTAATCCTGGCAGATACAGCCAGTCTGTTATCTGGTCCCGCGCGCTGGTCTGATTCATTTATCTAGATTCGCTCCTGTTCTTTTTTTTTTCTTGATTAGACTGGACTGTTGGTCATGTCTGGAGTTACGGTGCATACATACATAGGTACTAATACGGATTAATTATTTACCCTTCCTCGTGGCCGTGGGTCAGGCGACACTCACTGCAAACTTGCAAACTGCACACCATCGGAGATCCCGGATGGAAGATCATTATTATTATTAAGTACTATATATAAATCGCCGATTAGAGCGGAAACTACACCCGCACGTGGCGATAGCCTCACCTCGTGCGTGGCGTAGGAGAATCCAGGGGTCCTCGGAACTTAATCTCGACGACTTCTGTTAGCGTAGCGTATATATCACATCACATCACATCACCATTACCATCACCATTACCCGCGCCATCGGACACACTAGGTACACCATTATTTATCCGAGCCCACAACAGCAGAATAGGCAACAGAAATCAGCACCGCAGAAAGTCAATAATGCATACATAGTAAGTATTAGTATTTGATTCCAGTACCGAATATGAATGCCTAGTATCCTTGTAGTGCCAAGCATAGCATGATGTCACTGAAATGAAGCCCACATGAAATTGAAGTATCGCTTAGTTGCCTACCCTACCGTAAGTACCTGTCTATGTCTAATCTGGAATGTATGTATGTATGTATGTATGTAAGTCCATCATCACCCACCCACCCACACATGGATCCATCGAGAGTGAGTACCTATATACCTACGGAGTGCTACGGAGTAGTGGTAAGTACATGCATATAGTAGTATGCATCCCGCACAGACAGAAAATAGGCAGCAACAGCAATAACACATATCCACTAAGTAAGTACATAGTAGGTTTTTAGGTACCTAGTATACATTGCATACACGAATCAACCAACCAAGTACAGGACAAACCGGATATGAATGAAGTACGTACCTGGATATGATATTTTGGTAACTTGTTCTATTTCTATTTTAGAAAGATAGATCGTGCATGTAATCACATGCCATGCCATGACTTTCCTTTTCAGACCATGGTATGCCATGGTATGCTTTGCTATGCTATGCTCTGCCATCCCATCCCATCCCATCCGGAAAAAAAAAAGGGTTGGTGGGAGGAGGGAAGGAAAAGAAAGGAAAAAGAAGCAAAAAAGAAAATACAACCAATGTAAAACACCGGCAAGGAACATACCCGAAAGATCCTGATATGGATAAAATCATCACAAGAATTGCAACACCGCACGTCTTCGTGCAAGATAGCATGACAGATATATTATACAGCGGAACAGAAAACAATAGGGGTATGATATCAAGAACAGAACAGAAGCTTTCCAGGTTCCAGCCCCAACGTTTAATCTTACCCGGTGTATAGAATGATGGAAGAAACAAGCCCGAAAAAGTGTGGTGTAGTGGTACATGCTAGTGATAATCATAGTGATGATGGTGATTGCGACAGCAGAGACTGCGTTCATTCCGAAACGTTAAACTCGTGACTCATAATATGTGGGATCAGACCGGATCGCCCCTCAGGCTGCAGGACAATCGTGGCAGCGGGAATGACCGCAGACGGTGCAACGGCCGGCGCTGAGGAAAGGGTTGTTGTATTGGTGGCAGGAGCAGCAGGCCCACCAGCCAGCCATGGAGGGTCTGGTGGAGGCGTCCGACGTTGTGGAGGTGGTGGTTGAGCGGGCGGGGAGACCATTGTGTGTGCTGGGGCTGGGCTGGTTGGTGATGGGATGGGGTTGGAATTGAAGGTAGGATGGGGGCGACCTTGAAGACTCTTGGAAGTCTAGAGGGTTGAAAATGGCTCGTAGAGGTTTGAAGGAATCGTGGAAGATTTGGAGTACTGGTGGATTGGAGTCTGGGCAGTGGGAGGTTGGGTATAGAGTGAATTGACACTATAGAGCTGAGATGAGTTGCGTTTGAATGATGGTGAAAGGAAGGGAGTGAAGAATTCCAGGCCCAACTTGCGATTCCTATATATCTTTGTTCCTACCTCTTCAAGGGAATAGATGATGGAATGAGTGAACTATGCTTTCACCCCGTCCATCCATCGCCGATGAGTTGGCCTTGGTATGGGGGCAACCCACCGGGGCAGAATGGGCAGAACCTGCTTTCAACGGTTGCCCTGGGCGTGCAGGACCAGAGTGATGGAGTGCGCTATAGAGCTTGATTTCCAGCCAGAGAAAGGGATCAGAGCATCGTGATTGGATTTCAGTCATGGGCAGGTACCCGGATAGTGGGAAGCCTAGGCACTTGCAGGCAGAATCCTATGGACATCCAGTCCAATAGCCGAGACAAGTGCACATGTCTTCCTATACTTGGCGACATCTGACTCAGTAGATAGGAATTCCATGGTGCTGCGTGACCAGCAGATGACAGCTGGAAGGATTAAGTTCAGGTGTCCGGGCAATGAGCCCTTGGGGAGGTGGCTTAGCTGGGTAGTGGCTCGTAGCCCCCAATGGTGGTCTCCATCGTCATTGATCTGAATGGAAAGCCTGGCCTATACGTAACATTAGCTTTTTTTTCGATCAGCTGAAGAGGACTATAAGCAGACAGGCAACATTAGGGGACGAATGGATATCTATGGATGGAGGTACTACAAGAGGAAAGTGACGGTATAAAGAGAAGGCCAGATCGGGATCATCATTACAAAGAAGACCTCCATTGTCCTTTAGGGTTTGGAGCATGTGATAAGCGATGCTCCATGTCTCAATCTCAATTGTTTCACTGAACCCTGCGCTTCTGTGTCAAAGGCGTTTTGGTCGGTCCCCGCCTCGGGAATAATCTAGATCCGTCGGAGAGCAGTCCTCCACCAAGCAGTGGACTCGATCATCTCGGTTATTGAGAGGGACATTAACCAGGATGTATCTAGAGGGGAATTGGAATAAAATGCCGCATTATTTCCCATCACTTGCCCGGTGAAGCAAGTTATGAAGCAGAGGTGTGGATAACAACCGCCGCAAGGGCCTTTACCCGATCAGGGCACGCCCAGTCCACTGTTTCAAGGAGTTTAACTGATGCCCGAGGGGCACCACCACTTTCCTGGCTGGGACTTGGGGTCAGAAAGAAAACCAGGAGAAATGTGCCCTAGTTATGAGTCGATGACTGCTCCGCAACTGCAAGAGCTGGACCCGTAAGGCGACCCGACGCGAGGGGGGGCACGCCGTATCCCTCCCTATCCGGACTCCCGGCCGACTAGTCAGTCAGTACTACTCATGACGCCGCAAGGCTGGAATAATGATAGTAGCCCGGGCGCCGGCCTCGGTGGCGGGACTGAGAGATCCGGCTGTCAACCTCGGCAGCGAGACCAGCGTCGTAGCGCGCTAAGTTGCGATGCTAACTTGCTGAGACCTCAGACTGGACTGATCACTGAGTACTCCCGACAGCCGACACGGCGGGCAGCTCGCAGCTCCATCGAAGGACTGGCACCGCCTTCTGGATCGACAGTAGCCGGGTGGAGGAGGAATGCGGGCCAGTCAGCCCAGCCCTCGCCTAGTGCCCTAAGAGGCAGGTGACTGTTGTTCTAGAAATTCCGCCCGACTCCACCGGGACGGACCATTCACGGCCCTTAATCTTACTCGGGCTGCCATGGCAGTGGGCACCCAAATGATGGAGCCACCAGAGAACTGGGAGTCCGGCAGACTGCAGTGCATGGCAGTGCTGCCGGCCTGGGAGCCTGGGAAGGAATACTGGGAGGCTCAGAGTCGTTCGGAACGACGAGATGATGTCATCCGGTCCCAGCTTGGCGAGGCGTCACTTGAGGTTGGTGGGGACGAAGCCACGGATGATTTGCCCGGGCATTCGGGCAAGTGAAGGGCGCCGAGGGTGACGCATCCGGGCTAGCTTGACTTGACCTTGGAGACTTGGCAACTGGGAGAGTTTGGAGTCCAGGATTGTTAGTCAGTACTACTACAGTGATTATTATCGAGTCTGGAAGAGGGAGGGGCGGTGGGGACGGAGACTGTTTGGGGCTTGTTCCGTCATCTTCAGCTGCACACTGCCAGTGACGGAAGGAGGAACAAAGAAGGGGGTCATCAGCCCATCACAGTGGTTTAGAAGAGGGCAGCAGCGGAGTGGGTTACGGAGGATTCTGTGATATGTACGGAGTAGGGAGTAACTAGATAGGATGTAAGAATGTAAGATGTAGCGAAAGTCGACGGCAACAGCATCAGGTAAGCAGCGGCAGTGTCCAATTAGGGCTGGGCGGCGAGGGTGCGGCTCCCGCCCGGTCGGGCTCGCTGCCCGAGGCCACCCATGGTTGGATGCCCCATACTTTGCTTGCTCATCCTCTTCTCCCTCTCCATCCTTCCCACCCACCGGCTAGTCTATCGTCTTTCTGCTCGGTCTATCTTCTATCTATCTACTGACTCGGCGTGTTGTCCGGTTGCTTCCATCAGAACAATTATTCCAATCCCACAATCATCATCCAGGAGACCTTTCCCCCCCCAAGAGTGGGGATTGCCATCTGAGACTCGGGGAGAGGATTGGTATCCCTCGGGGTCTGATTTGTTTCTGCTTCCCCCCCCTCCTCCCCCCCACCAGCTATCTTGCGTCACTGCTCCCCATCTTGCAGTCGTCGAAGATCGCTTGCGCCTGTCTCTGCTTCACCCTCATCGCATCTCCATCCATCCTCCCTATCCCATCTAACCCATCCATCCTCTTGCACTGGCGCCCTCAAACCTGCCCCTTTCCCCTTACTCCACCGTCCGTCCGTGGTTCAGCAATCAGTGCGTCCCGTCCCTTCAAATATCGCCGTCCTCTCCCTTCTCCCGGCTTCCGGTGGCCTGTGACCTCAGGCATCGGCCTGTCAATTGCTGTCAAAATTTTCTTATCCCCCTTCCAACCCGCCCTTTGCCTATTCTGGCTTCGTTTTGCCCCTCGGGCATTCTCATCGTGATTGTCCCTATTTTCTGGCCTGGTGCCTGAAGGCTTGACTCCCAAGATACCCACTTTTTCCGCTGGTGCTTTGGGTTTCAGGTCATTTGTCTATTCATCTAGCTTGTTCATCGATCCATTTTTTTACCTTACTTGACCGCTCCCCCAAGCGCCGCTGAGAACCTCCTACAAGGCTTCTTTACCGTTTGTGTTGTCCAAACTCCACATTTCCTCGGTCGGAGATCGTGCATCGCCGTCTATCGCCTGCAAGGGTTCACAATGGGTCCCGCTGCGCGTTACCGACCCATGTCTCCCAGCGGTTCACGGATGGGCGACCCCATGCGGGCCTCCACCGGAACCGTGCAGCTGAGTGCATCCTACGACCCGTACAACCTCACAACTAGCCGTCCGGCATACTCGAGCTACCACCCCGACGTGAAGCATGCTTCATCCTACGACCCAAGATCAGCGCGAGAACCGCGGCTGGAAGCCCAGCCGATTTCCTCCACCACATACCGCGACCCTGGCCATTCGACCAAGCTGCGGACCGAGTACGCCATCCGCCCGAGAGCGCGGAGTAATACTACATCGTCGGCAGAGACTCGCTTCCCTCCCGGTCGCTATGACGCGCCCGCCTCGCCGTTGTCTAGGACGTCGCCAGTCATAATCTCCGCCCATCACCGTTCCCCGAGCCCTCATCGCGAGCAAGAGCGTTATGTTGTGCCCGCCTCTTCACACAAGCATCATCGGCGGCATCCCCTCTCACACACTGATTATGCCAGTGATACCGGACGGCTGGACCCGAACGACCGAGAGGCCAGGGCCCGGATGGCTCATGGTGCATACCCCTCGTATGAGCACAGCCATCGTTGGCGTTACCCGCCCACTGGGGGTCTCCGGAAAGGACAAGATATCGATGACTATGATGCGTATTCCTATACCAGTCCGCGAGAGCAATTTGAGAAAGACTCGGTTGCAAGGCTGCGCCACGACCGGAGCGCCTACCCCAGGGAGAGGCCCCTCAGCCTGACCGGCGTTGATGACCCCCAGTTGATGCCCAGGAAGGAGTCTCGAGCCCTGGGACCTCCGCCGTCTCAGAGAGGCTTCGGCAAGCTGGACCATGGGGGTCGCGTGCGACGCTCTAACTACGGCTCTGCGGACAGTGATGTGGATCTTTCCAGTGCCAGGCGGCGGTCCTGGCAGAGAGCCCCCGTTTCTTTGCATCAGGACGTCGACGAAGGATATTCCTCTCATAGGGATGACTATGACCATGGCCATCATCGCCACTACCGACCTAGGCGACATGAGGAAGATGTGACTAGTCGACACTCCTATGACGATCGTGCGCCTAGGAGATCCTCCATTGCCAAGGGTGCCGGGACTTCTGCGCCCGGTACTGGACTGGGTACTGCAGTGCTTGCAAGTGGTTACTCTGACTTTGAGCACGACCGTTCTCGAACGGATCGCCATAGGTCCCGGGAGCGGGGATCTCGTGACCACGAGCACAGGCAGCACCACAGTCGGTCACGGAGACGGTCTAGACGGCGCACTGGGAGTGGTTCAGATTGGTACAGCTCAGACGAAGACTTGAAGAAGTACCAACGCGAACCATCCGCACATAGGAAGCTCAACGGCTCCGATTTATCTGCCAGCGGCAGCGACCGCCCGCCCCAGTATCTGGCAATTGATCCCGCCCCTCGCCATCGGTCCCATTCGCGACACCGGACTGAGGAGATGCCGCGTTCTAGGGAGGCTGGCACTCCGGAGGTTTCCAGTCGCCCAGAGGAGCCGGCAAAGGCTGACTCTGTCACTTCCAAAGATCAGGAAGCACCTGCGCCCAAAGGCATCCTGAAAGCTCCCCGTGAACGGTTCCCAGAGGAGCCCAACCCCGTTCGAGAGGGTGTGGCCCCATTGAAAGATGCGCACAAGAAAGGAATTCCTCCCGGAGCCAGATGGACGAAGATTGACCGCAGGCTGGTTAATCCCGCAGCATTGGAGGTGGGACGGGAGCGGTATGAGGAGCGATCGGAGTATGTGATTGTTTTGCGCGTTTTGACGAAGGAGGAGATCCAGGCTTATGCGGTCAAGACGCAAGAGATTCGAGGTAAGTTCGAGACAGCGTGCAATGGATGACCGACCTAAATGCTAAACGAGTACAGATGCCCGATATCAAGAAGTTGTAAGGGAGCGGCGTCGGCGACGCGACGAGGACCGCCGTCGTGGACGTACGGTCGACAACTCGTCAAGCGATGATGAGGAGGAAGACGCGTCGCCCCTTGCCATCGAGGGCCCGCCCGACCTGAAGGGCATGCCCCGGGCCTCAACCGAACCCGCGAAAGCGGTAGCATGATGTATGGACTCTCCGTGACCGGTGTCTCGCACCATTTCATTTGTTTTTCTTTTTCTCTTTTTTGTCTGTTTCTGGATCGTCATACCCCTATTGTTCACGTGATGTCATACCGGACCAAATCGCGAGGTGAGAAGAAGATGGATTGAATGTACAACAGCGGACCGGCGATGGCCGGGCCTGATAGGATGGGAGTATGGATTATGATGTGCCTGTTAGATATCACGACCTGAACGCACGAGCAATCAAACAATTCAAGCAATTGGTACTTGTCTGGATTTCAACCGATGGTTCTACCGCATATGGTGTGTACGTCCTACTTGGCAAACTTGGAAATGGGGGGTTCACGAGCGAAAAGGCTTTTGGCAACCGCGAACTTCCCAAACAGGAGAAAAAGAGTCAGAGACCAACGGTCTTCTGACTATGTCTAAGCCCCGGTTACACGGTACCACCCGAGCTGGCCCCTTGTTGGCTGAGGGGCTGCGCGTGCTCAGGGAGACAAACTCCATCACTCACTTGTCAATGTCCGATGTCCGTCCGGTGTGACCGGGACCAGATTGGGCATTTCTACCTATCTATCTACCTTACTTCCCTTAGCACCGCCATGTCCAACCCTTCTTAGGTTGGGGGTTGGACGTGGGTTTATCTGTGTGTGTGTGTGTGTGTGTGTGGGCGCTTGGCTTACAGTAGGATAGTAGAATCCGAGCATTCCTATACACCAGCGCCTACTTACATACATGCACCGGTGATGCTAACTCGAGGAGACTACTTTTACTCTTTTTTTTTTTTTTTTCTTTTTTTTTTGACCTTTTTCCTTTTTCACCTCTACATACGAACTAGTACCGTAGGTAGTCAGCATCCACCCGCCACCGTCGTTGTCCAAAGCAGTATGTTGTCATTGGGAATTGCGCGAATGAGCATCTGCGAACCCTCTAGTACATACAACCAAATCTCTTTCAGCCTCCGCGACATGTGTGTGTATGCAGAACTCCAATCCCTATGTATGTATGTATGTATGTATGTATGGATCGAAACCCCCACAGAGGGCTTCCGTTCTCATCGTGGCCAACCAAGTAGGTAACTGACTTTCACAGCAGAAGCAGCAGCCGCCGCAGTAGCAGACTATGAACAGCCAGACAGCCAGCCAGACCTTGTCTTTCTTCACACACAATAATTCCATCATCCATCCATCCATTCATCCAGCAGGGAATCGACGGGAAGACAGGGGGGTGTGGGTGTATGTTGTGGTGTTGTGGACCTTTGACTGGTCGGATCGACCTGAACTGGGTATATAGACAGCTGTCAGATGGTCAACTTTGTTTTTGTTTGCCTTTTTCTGACGTCTTGCTTGTTTTATTTTGTTTTTATTTTGCTTTTCATACTATCTATTTTTATTTTTATTTTTTTTATCTTGGTTTTCCTCTTCAGAATGTGCTTGCTTGCTTGTCTGTCTGTCTGTCTGTCTGTGGGTTTGTTTGTTTGCTTGCTTGCTTTTTTACCCGCTAGCTGTTAATAGGTAATGGTGATAGTAATGATGATTGATTGATTGATTGATTGATTGGTTGGAGGGTTGGTTGTCATTGATTGATTGGTTGCTATTGATTTGATTTGATTTGATTGCCACCTGGCCTGTCAGGGTCGGGCGGGATGGGATGGGATGGGATGGATTGCGGAGGGTGCGGAATGATTCGACTCGACTTGACTTGATTCGATTTGATTTATATAGGTGGATGGATGGAGAGGTGTATAGCACGGATAGTATTATGTATGTATGCACCTAACTATATAAATCAATAGATAAGTATATGTAAACTCGATAAGAGGATAAGGGGACGGGCGGGTGTGATGATCCATACGCGAGAGATCCTCATCCTCATCCTCATCCTCATCGCCAGGACAGTATTTCCCTGTCACGTCAGATAGGTAGGTACCTACCTAGGTAGATAATTAGGTAGGTTCATATCATTCTGTTCAAGTGTCTCTCTCTGTCCCTCCTGCCTCGGATAAGTCACCCACCCAGCCACCCATCCAATGTCTGGATGAGTGAATCAAACTGGAACTGGAACTGGAGCGACCCCCATCCACAATACGATACGATATGATATGATAGGATAGGATATGATCTCAGTGGCGTCGCCAGCCCGCCGAGACCCGCGGCAATCCACACCCTATTCAGGATGCGCGCGTCTCATGACATGACATGACCAGAAAAACAAACAAGCAGGCAGGCAGACAAGCAAGCAAGCAGAAAAGGAAGGAAGGAAAGCAGATAATGTGTATGTGGATGTGTATGTGGATGTGTATGTGTACCTATGTGTATGTAGTTGGAAGATAACCGGAAAACAAAACAAGCAAAGCAATCTCGATCGGTGGGGTTTCCGTGCTGCCGTTTCCCGAGGTGGTGGTGGAATGAGTGAATGGAGGGAGGGCCAAGCTGGATGGGATGGATGGTACGTACAGCACTATCCCCTAGGTAAAGTATCCCCTAGGTACCTAGGTAAGGTAAGGTAGCTTAGGTATGATGAGATGACAGCAGACGGGTAGGTAGGTGGTAAGTTGCTTTCCTCGTGACTTGGTGTACTTGCTTACCTACCTACCTACATACTTACCTACCTACGTAATTAGTAGTACTCCATAGTGGTAGGAAGGTAGTAGGTAGTTATGCGGTGGTGTTGTCCTATGACCGGCGAGATTAGTTGTTGGTTAGGGATGGGATCTGATAGGTTGGATGGGGCTGGTTAGTACGGACTTACTTAGCTACTTAGGGATAGTTATAGTAGGATGATAAGTAAGTAAGTACCTGGTGGTGCTGGCGGGTAAAGCGCTGTTAAAAGGGCTGGGAGAGATCTAGACTCTCTCGCTTGTAGTGGTACAGTATGTATCTACTTATGTACTTTGGACCTAGCCTCTCTATTTATCTCATTACATGTGAATATGAAGATAGAATGTGAATGCGATTGTGCTTGCCATCACCTATACCAATATGGGACGTTGCAGCATAGGGCGTAGCGCTGTTCGTTCATAGTTCGGCTGGATTGAGGGGAAGGGAGTGAGTGAGTGAGTGAGTGGTTGGTTGGTTGGCCAGCTGGCTGTATGCTCTATGCTCCAGAAGGAAGTACAATATACCAAGTAGAGTAAGGCGTGATAATGGTGGGAGAGAGAGGTACTCTAGGCCCAGGAAGGCTCCTAGAGCCGAGAGGGATTACTTCGAGAGGTCTATAAGTTAGTAGTTACTGGCTACTACTTACTTCCCGGACTGCATGATTCAATTAGAAGGAAGCAGTGACATGGGATTATTGTGCTTGTGACTTGCTAAGTACTATCTGGACTTGCAGAGATTAAGGGAATTGGGGATGTGGTGTCTGATAGGAAGGTACTACTTACATACATAGATACATCTTTACCTACTTACTGCCTACCTAAGTAGGTAGTAAGTCCATAGTACTAACTTATCAGGTAGGTATGTATCTACCAGTATAGTAGTCTAGGACGTCAATCTAGTGTACTGTAATGTAGCCATCCTTCCCAACGTTTGTGCATCATTGTTCTCCCGTGAAGGTTTGGACCGTCCATCCGACTGAAGCTTCTGTTCGCGCGAGATTGAGTTTTCGACCTTGCTGGGAGTTCGATGCCATGGAAGAGGGCGAGGAAGGTTCCATAGCTCAGGTAAGGCAGGCCCCCTCGACGGGTATACATGGGTACCTTACCCAGGGTACAGTTCCACCCGGTACGGAGTATTGATTATGGATAGATACCGGCAGCGATACATCCATCCATCCATCCATCCATCCACCCAGCCACCCAGCCACCCATACTTACCTAGGTAGGTTCCTATGTACTACAAGTAGGTCCGGATAGTCCAATTAAGTTCGAGCCTTACTGAAGCAGGTACTCCGTACTTACTTACCTCTAGCCTTATGGAACGAGTAATTTCCGCTCCACATATCGATCTCTCTAGTCGATAGACCATCCAATCCACGGGTTGTCGGGGACTCCTATGACCCCATGTACGTATCTACATATGAAGCAAGACGGAAATTAGGCAAGTGAAAAAGGAAAAACGGAACGGAAAACAAAAAAGAAAAAAAAAAAGAAAAAGGCTCGGGAACATCCACATAGACAGGATAGCCGAAAATCACCCGTTGTTAGTCCCCGTCAGTGCGTGCGAAAAAGCAAAACAAAGGCGAAAGCCGCTCTACACGCTACACACACTACACAGTGGCTGGGCCCTCGGAAATGGAAAACCAGCCACCGCGAATCATTTCGAGTCAGTTAAATTAGGAGCGACACGCCTCTATGTACCTAAAGATGTAGGTAAGCTGTCAGGGCGTGTGTGTGATAGATGGATAGGTAGGTATAGTAGGTAGTTAGGTAGGTAGATATCACGCCCACCCCCTCCTACCTACATACCAGAAATTCGAGACTAAGGGCCTGGTCTGGTCAACAAGTCTGACTGAGTCTGGCCCGTGACGTTCTGCTGCTTCTGTGAGATTTCGGGTGGCTCAATCTGCTAAAAATAATCTGCCGTGGGAATGCTTGGAGAGCTAACCTCCCACGCAACTGGAGGCAGTGACAGTTAGCAGCGGGTATGTAGTCACTTAGTAATATACACAGTCAGTTACTTACAGTAAGTAGTGGTTCACGACTTAAGATCGAGACGCTCCTCGCAAGTTGTCGCGGCGTATTATTTGCGGTCCATCGCGGCGTCGGATGGTGGGGCCGGAGTACCGGTTGGCTTTAGGACGGACGGACGGCCGGACGGTGGATTTACCAGTGCCAGTGACATTGTCTTAGGGCTCAGATCACATGCCCTTACAGGCACGGCTAAAATCTGACGGGTATTGACGGTGTCAGTCACAGTCTGTCTTGGTAACTACCTACTAGGTGAGCTTCAATATCAGAGGCGCGCAAGTAAAGAAGCGACCTAGGTCCTATTGGGTAGTTAGATAGAGAGCGACCTTGAGGGCGATCAATCAAGAAATGAAAGAAATGCGGTTAACCTACCACACAGCTTGAAACCACAACCACCACTTACGTATTGCCAATTTACTGCGGAGATTGGATTCTGAACCACTCTCACCCCCAAATCTGAGGTAATGGCAGCAAACCGCAGGAAAGCAAACTTCTTTGCTTCCCCCCCCCCCCCCCCCTTCCAACGAACGAACCGAACCAACCAACCAACCAACCAACCAACCACACGACCCCAAACCAAACCAGTCGGCGATTGGATTCGATTTGATTTGGATCCCTTCTTCTCCCTCGGACAAAATTATAGCCCTCCATCCATCCATCCATCCATCGGACACTAACTGCGAGTGTTGACCGGGTAGGCCGACGCCGACCAGAACCAAATTCCAATCAACCCAGTTCCCCCCATCCCACTAAGCCCAACTCCGTAAGCGGCTCTTTGGCCCGTGTTCCAGTCCCATCGCTCCATCGCTCCATCCTCCATCCTCCATCCGCTCCCGGGGCTGGATCTCCAGTCAGTGCCAGTGCGGACTGCGGAGAACCTCCTCCTAGCCTTCCCTCCTCCCCCTCTCTTTCTCCTCCATTCTGGGATTTTTGGTTGGCCCACGGGGGCAAGTTATCGGGCGATTCGGCCTGGACTGGCACAACCCGCGACAAGGTTTGTTTGTTTTTTCTTCCCCCCCCCCCCCCCCCCCCCTTTCACCAATCGAGCCCGCTCGATGTCTTGAGTCAGCGCCGCTTTGGTGTACCGATCGGCGCATATGGTCTACGATGGCTCATGCTGGCATGCACTCGCGGGCGCTTCCTTTGACCTTTGACATACATACGGATACTAAAAGTCTATTAGTATCTATCTATCTATCTAACCTCTGGCTTACCTTTCCCTTAGTAGTGTATGAGTAACCATAATTCATGATTCACGATTCGTGACATGAAAAATTTGTAAGTAACTATAGTTATACTCCAGCTTTACTAAGCTTATGTCATGAATGCCAGTAATTACGAAGTGTTCAACGCTAAATCACGCCTATAAGACACCTGCCCGCTGTACGGAGTGTGTATAATATCATGCAAACCGATGGATTGGTCACGTTTTACCCGCTTTCGTATAGATATCTAAGTACGGAGTAGTAGGTAGAGCACGATCATC